GAACCAGTGGGTGTTGCAGTCCAGCCTGGTTCTGCCCAGCACATACTCGGCCCTCGCATAAACCAGTGGAAGCTGCAGCCTAGTTGGAGCGACCCACAATAACCCCCACCAGGCCCACCCCCTACCCTGGTTTGCCAGTAAGTGTAGCAGTAGTCCAGTCTGTCACGTACATGTCAATGGATATAAAGCTTTGTTCCCTCTAACCAGCTCCACTATGATCCCACACAGATGCTGTTGGGTGTCTGTCTAGCCACCCCAGCCCCTGTCCTAGTTTTCATGCCGTCCCATGGAAGTGGTAACCCAATAGGGATGAGCCCACTATTTCCCTCCCAGGCGTCTCCCACTTCCAGATTATACACTCTCCAGGTAGTTCTGGGGTTTGACTTGACAGAATTAGACCCCCAGTGCCAGCTTCTGCCAGCTGATGCTATGGCTAAGCCCAAACAACCCTCACCCACTCTAATTTTGTTGTACCAGTAGGAATAATCAGCCCAGCCTGGCTTTTCCCTGATCTAGTCCACATGAGGCACACAGGTGTTGTAGCCCTGCTTAGTCTGGTCTGCCCCCATCCCAGCTCACGCTCTCCAGTGGGAGTAGCTATCCAGCAAGGGAACCACCCCTTGTCCCCCTACCAGCTCTGCCCCCTCTCTTCCTTGTTCTTATGTGTGCTGGTTGGGTGCTGCGGTCATATTCAGTACAGGCAACCTCACTTTGGCATTCCATATTGTGCAGTAGTTTTTGTCGTGACTGAACCTGGCTCGACTCACACTGTTCTGGTGCTTGGATTTGCCAGTGGATGACATGAACTGATTCAACCTGGTCTGCCCCCAACCCCTGCCAAATGTATGCCACAGTGGGAAACTTTCCATGGCCTGTTCTGGACTGTTTTCTATCATGTTTCTTGCGCTTACCTGCCTGGTCTGTGTCCTGCCAGAGGAGTTGCCCAGGTCCCTCTATCAGAACCTCTCCCAATGCCAGATTTTGCACATACCAGGGGGTCCATGAGCCAGCACAACTCAGTTCACCTCCTGTCCTAGCAGGAACAGTGGCTTTTCCTGACTGGCCTTCAACTCAAACTGGTCCTTGCTGTTGGATGTTTCAGCCCAGCCATGGCTTGTCACATTATTTGTTGGAAAGGCACAGAAACAGAAAAGGGTCCTTCTGCCATCCCCTGGCTCACTCCCTATGTAATACAACCCACAGAGGCTGGAAAGGGGGCCCTGATTTCAGTCTCCTGGGTAGGGTCAGGACCCTGATCCATCTCCTGCTGCCTCCCATGTCCGCATCGGCAGAAGCTGATTCACAAGCGAGTCAAAACATCCCAAGCTGCATCTTAATCGCTTGCTAAATGTCCATTTCAAGGATGTTTACGTTGCCGTTTCCACATTTTCTCATTACTTTTTCCTAATAAAAGTGAACAACATTTATTTATATATAAAATGTGGGGTGTCGAAGGGGAGAGGTAAAAGAGGACAGGATAGCAAGATTGCAACTGACAAGTGCCGAATAACAGAAAAAACAAAACTTACTTTGGTTGACCCCAGTTTAAAATCTGGAGAATACCCTGAACCTCGAGGAACAAGGAACTCCTTTTCTTTAATTTCCCTGCTATAGCAAGCTCTAAGAAATGCCAAGGGCTTGGATCATTGACTATTTTTCAGAAACATAAGCTAAAGAAAGAAGTACATCTCAGCAACCCAGCTGCACTTGGCCCATCTCAAGTGTGAGCGTGCGGCTTAGGACTGCAAGCTGACCTTGCTACTTTGGCTGAGGCAGAAATCGTGGCTGCCACTGGGACAAGCCATGGGCTGGCAACACCGGGCCCTGCCCCGCTGGTGGTTCTGGTGCAATGCCGAGCTCTCAACGTGCTGCTGGCTGTGCTGGGGCCCTGCTGATTGAGAGCTGGAACACAAGTGCCAGAGCCTAAGTGAATTGCTCCTCTTTGCTCTCACAGCCAGTGCCATGAGGGGGTTGGTCTGTGATCTTCCGCTGGGAGGGTGGAGGACGCTTCCTGAATGCAGTCTAGCTGAACGGCTTCAGTGTGGAGCTGGTTGTACCCATGTGCAGTGTTTCTACAGAAACTTGGTTTGATCTAAGTACTTGTGATGAATCCTGGAGAAGGGGCTGCAGACCCTTGGGTGCTTTGTAAAATTTCGTTTTTTCAGATTTATTTTATTTTTATTGGAAAGGCAGATATATAGAGAGGAAGATCTTCTGAAAATTGATTCACTCCCCAAGTGACTGCAACAACTGGAGCTGAGCTGATCTGAAGCCAGGAGTGAGGAGCCTCTTCCAGGTCTTCCATATGGGTGCAGAGTCACAAGGCTTTGGGCCGTCCTTGACTGCTTTCCCAAGGCCACAAGCAGGGAGCTGGATGGGAAGTGGAGCTGCCGAGATTAGAACTGGTGCCTACATGGGATCCCGGGCAAGTTCAAGGCGAGGACTTTAGTGGCTAGGCCACCGTGCTGGGCCCTGGTTTTTAATTTCTTTATTTCACTTCAATTCATTTAGATCTATGGGGTGAATTTTAGTTTTTTTGAGGGTGGGTTTAAGACTTGAAGATTAGTATTGTTGATACAGAAATGCTTTTTACAAATAAAATTGACACTAGTCACCGTTTCCTGCTTGTTCTTTTGCCTAATTTGAGTACAACTGTTTTTCTATTTTCTAAGACTTAACATTATTTCTTTTTCTTTTTTAAAAAAAGATTTATTTATTTATTGGAAAGTCAGACATACAGAGAGGAGGAGAGACAGAGAGGAAGATCTTCCATCTGATGATTCACTCCCCAAGTGAGCGCAACGGCCGATGCTATGCCGATCCGAAGCCGGGATCCAGGAACTTTTTCCGGGTATCCCACATGGGTGCAGGGTCCCAAGGCTTTGGGCTGTCCTCGCCTGCTTTCCCAGGCCACAAGCAGGGAGCTGGATGGGAAGTGGAGCTGCGGGGATTAGAACCAGTGCCCATATGGGATCCCGGGCGAGTTCAAGGTGAGGACTTTAGCCGCTAGGCCATGCTGCCGGGCCCAACATTATTTCTTTTTCAATGATTCCAGCTCAGGAGACTTGCATATAACCCATTACCACACTGACAAATTATCTTTGTGGAATAAATACACATAAAACCATACTACAAAGATTTTTAAAAAATAATTTTATTATCTATTTATTTATTTTGCAGAGGCAGACATACAGAGAGAAGAGACAGAGAGGAAGGTTTTCTGTCCTCTGGTTCACTACCCAAGTGATCGCAATGGCTGGAGCTGAGCCAGTCTGAAGCCAGGGCCTGGAGCTTCTTCCAGGTCTCCCATGCAGGTGCAGGGTGCCAAGGTATTGGGCTGCTCTCTACTGCTTTTCTAGGCCCACAAACAGGTAGCTGGATGGGAAGCAGGGCTGCCACAATTAGAACTGGCACTCATACGCGATTCCAGCATGTGCAAGGTGAGGACTTTAACTGCTAGGGTACTGCACCGAGCCCACTACACAAATTTTAAAGATAAATTTTATACATCAACTATATAATCTTTGGTGTTAGTGTAAGAAAAGGATATGGTCAGTATTGCTAGATTCACCTTGTTACTAGTTTCTTTCATTGTGTGTCTTAAATTATATGACATACTCGGGGTCACCGAACTTGTTCTTTTAAATTAAGGGTCTACTTGAAAGGCAAAATTACAGGGATCGTTCCCCACATGGCCTCGGCTGGGCCAGGCAAAACCATGAGCCGAGTTTCATCCTGGGCCTGGAAGCGTGGCCTAGCAGCTAAAGTCCTCGCCTTGAACGTGCCAGGATCCCATATGGGCACTGGTTCTAATCCCTGCAGTTCCACTTCCCATCCAGCCTCCTGCTTGTGGCCTGGGAAAGCCTTTGAGGACGGCCCAAAGCTGTGGGGCCCTGCACCCGTGTGGGAGACCTGGAAGAAGTTCCTGGCTCCTGGCTTCAGATTGGAGCAGCATTGGCCATTGCAGTCACTTCGAGAGTGAATCATTGGTTCGAAGATCTTCCTCTCTGTATATCTGCCTTTCCAATAAAAACAAAATAAATCTTAAAAAACAAACAAACAAGAGTTTCATCTGGTCTCCCACGTGGGAACAGATGCTGAAGTCTTCAGCCATCCCCCTTAGATGTGTTAATAGGGAGCTGGATCTGAAGTGGAGCATGGGATGCTGGCATTGTACCACATAAATACATTAAGGAAACTTCTAGCTCCACTCATACCTCTGTCTTCTATAAGCAAAGTCCAGAAGCAGAGATGGAACTCAAGCTCATAGAAACAGACGAACTGAACACCATCGATGCAAAATGTCACTTATTTGTGTGTCAGGCGGCTGAGGTATACACTAAAACTTTGAAAACATCTAAGTGATACACTAGCTTTCAACTGCTACTAATAGGCTCAGATATCTGAAGAAAATCAAACCATTTCATAAATCTAGAGGAGGGCACGGTTATTGGTTCGGTAGCTCAACAACGTGGGGACTGGCATCTTTGTGATTCTCTTGGTTTTTCTCTCAGGTTTGAAAGGATGCTCCTAGCTCCCGTTGTCACTACTGCTTGTGGTGAAAGAGGCAGCTTAGTTTGCAGCCTATTTTCTTTACCAATGTTTAATTTTTTTATCTACTCAAAAGGCAGAGCAACACATAGAGACACACAGAAAGATCTTTCATCTCTACTGATCCACAGCCTTAGTAATCACAAGCCCCAGCACTGCCCAGGCTGAAGGCAGGAAGTTCAACTTCACTTGGGTTTTCCTGCAAGGGCCTAAGCAGGACACAGTACCTGGAAGCTGGACTGCAATCGAGATAAGTATGTAAAGACTGTCAAAAATAAGGAAAAACAAAATAGGAAAAAAAAAAAAACAAACACCAAAAAAGTGGTGGCTTGACCTGCTGTGCCACAACACATTCCACTGGGTCTGTTACTTTCATTGGGATACAGAAGTTGTCCTGGAAATCCTAAGGCCACGCAAAGCTGTGATACCGGCTAGAAGAGACAGCAATGAACTTTTTCAGGTTCTTTATTGAGGGAGGTAAGGGGGGAGAGAACTGGTATTGCTGGAAAGTTAGATCATCAATATTATCGCCATACACAGTTTTTCTTTCAAAATGAGTAGTTTGTAAAACAAAAAAAAAGGTTTAGCAAAAACTCTAAGATAACTTGAAATTTAATCATGCAGTTTTCAAAAACTGATTCAAAAGAGTTATCATCTTGATTCACACCCCAAATATCTGCAATGGCTGGGGCTGGAAGGATGGGATGGGAACACATTCCAGGCCTCCTAGGAGGTGGTAGGAACCCATTGCCTGAGCCCTCTGGAGTCAGCGCGGGTGGGAAGCTGGGAGTGTAACCAGGAGGTGGCAGGAACCCGCTGCCTGAGCTGTAACCACTGCCCTCTGGAGTCAGCGCAGGTGGGAAGCTGGAGCAGGAGCCCAAACTGGGACTGTAACCCTGGCAGTTCATGTGAGATCTGGTCATCTCAGTTGCTAGGATGATCACCTATTCTCAATCATGACATTTTTAACAAATGTATTTCAGCTATACTGATTTTTTTGTTTGGTTTTCTTCCTTTCAACATTCTACAACGGAACTGTGATTAAATTACAGTGGGACTATCAGTAAACAGTGGGAAACAATCAAAAGGCCTGTAGTGATAAACTATTTGCAATCACTGTTTTGCTGTTACTGTCCTTCTACACCAAAGAACATCTGGAAGACATCCCCACAGCCTTTGACATTTAAGAACTGATAGAGCTGCCCAAAGTCCATATGGTTTCCTCTGGCTCCACTAACATTGAACACTTTCTCTTCAAAAATGGAAAATTTCCTTTGCCTTTGCATTTCGTCATTCGTACCGTCAAAAGGAGTGTCTTCTCGATGGCGAATTAAGATTCTTTTCCAGTTTAACTTTCTGAGTCTGAAAAGACATATTCAAAGTAGAACTTTTTACAAAGTTTATTTTCATTGGCAGCACTGACAACAGAAACTCTGACAGTTATCCATGCCTCTCTCGGGACATAATTTCCTGCTGCATCACCAACTTACCTAGTATTCTCATCATAACGCTCCCCCTTAACCCATCAATTGCCAAAATCATTCCCTTCTACAGAAATAAGGTGATGACTAAATCTCACTGAAATAACTTCTCCAAAACCCACAAAGTCAGCAGGGAAAGAAGACTGGGAGTAGTTGTGATTGTTTCTACAGAGGCCCTTGTTTCACAAGATATTACAAGGTACAGCATCACAAACACGAGAAGGACTGAGATCCACTGACACGAATGGGATCCTAGACCACATCTTGTCAGGAGCTCAATTCCTCCAGCGTTTATTTAGAGGTCTGCTGTGTTCAGTGCGCTAGTTGAAGGGGATCATGCTGACTCTGTGTGATTTCTGTCTTACCTACGGTTTCAACCCTGAATCTCCAAGATGCAACCCTAGGGCCATATTTTCACATCTCCAGCATCTGACTTATTATTAAATGTGATTGTATAAGATACGTGATAGCAAACCTTGACCAGAATTCTTCACAGGCACTTTGCGGGCCTTCTACACAAACAACGCCAGGTTTTCCAGGCATGCTAAACCCAGACAGGGAAAGCTCCTTTGCCCACTCTAGAATATTCTTCCTCTTGTATTTGTTGTAGATGTGATGGCTATATATCCAAAGTCTTGTGAGAATTAGATCGACAGACTGTACTGTGCATCCAGTGGTGGAAGGAGGTAGAACATCTCTGGTAATGTAGTCAGAGGCATGTTCTCTAACCCACTCCGTGGCATTCAACACACACACATCTCCAAGGCAATTCTTTTGCAGGTATGCAGTCAGATCCGTGTTCAATTGAGTCTGCTGTGACCTACTTAACAGCACTGATCTGATGGAAAAGATATGGGGAAAATGTATCATTTCTCTCGGTACACTCTATAGCCAGGGAAGTACTTTCATTGTCAGATTCATTCTAATCTCCAAAGTTGGCCAGAGTTTCTGTAACATACCTGACTGTAATTTCAGGCAGAACCTCCGGGTATTTAAAGGGAAGAACACAAGCCAGAGAAAACACTGCCTGATTAAAAAAGAAAGAAACACAGTAAGTGCTCTAAGCACTTTTTAAAGATTTGGCATGTTTTAATGTTTTAAAAAATACTACCATTGCTTCTTCATATACATCCAGGTTCAAATTGATAGTAAAGTAAACTTTTGAAGATCGCCCCTCCATTGTTCTCTTTTCAATGCAGTCTTTCAGTTCTGCCAAAGCCAGCTGGTCATTCACCATGAGCTCATTTTCACCAGGGAACATACTGACCAGCAGATCCAACTCAGAGAGCTGGGCCTCCGCCTGCTCCATAGCAGCCACTCTTGTATATCCGTGAGTTTCTAAACAGGTAAAGATAGGCAATTAACATTTACAACTTTGGTAAATTCAATAGATCAACACAGCACTTTAAAAATATGCATTTGATTTCTTTAGAAAATATGAAATTTGAGAGCAGGCATTTTGCCTGGCATTAAGACATCAGCTGAGAGGCCTGCATACTATGTCTGAGTATCTAAGTTCAAGTACCAGCTCTGCTTCTGCAAACCCTGGGAGCTGACAGGTGACGGCTCAAGTGGCTGGATTACTACCACGCACATGGAAGACCCAGACTGATCCTTGGCTCCTGCTAATGCATCTGTGTGGGTATGGATGGTGGGCCAATCCTTGCACCCCTGCCTTGTGTGGGAGATCAGGACAGAGTTCCTGATTCCTAGATTTAGACTAACTCATTCCCACCTGTTGTGGGCCTTTGAGGGGTTATCCAATACAAGACATCTGTCACTCTGTCTTTCAAACAGATCTATAACATTTCTCCAACTTCTACTGCTTTCTGGAAAGCATTAGCAGGAAGCTGGAACACAAGTAGAGCAGCCAGGACTTGTAGTAGTACACAAATAGGATGCCAGTGTTACAGGGAGCCAATTTGCTGGCTAAGTCCCAACACTGGCCCAAATCACAGAGAGAGAGAATATCTTCGTTCTGCTGGTCTACTCCCTGGTGCAAGCAGTCAGGCAAGGCTGAAGCCAGAAGCCTCGAGGACTCCATCCAGGGGGAAGAGGAACCCAAGTTTCAACTGCTGTGCTATTGCACATGGGAGCTGGATCAGAAGTAGAGCAGCCAAGACTAACACTGATGTTCACAGGGGATGTCAGCATCACAGGCAACGGCTTAACTCATTACAGCACAACACAGGCCTCAAGCCTTATTCTGCTCTCAGAAGTTTGCTTACAATGTTTACTTACATGGAATCTTTAAAAAACAAACAAACAAACAAAGAGTTTATTATTTTAGGGCCTGGTGCAATAGTCCAGTGGCTGAATCCTCACCCTGCATGTGCCGAGATCCCACATGAGTACCGGTTCATGTACCAGCTGCTCCACTTCCCATCCAGGTCCCTGTTTGTGGCCTGGGAAGGCAATGGAGGATGGCCCAAAGCCTTGAAACCTATACCCACATGGGAGACCTGGAAAAAGTTCCTGGCACCTGGCTTCGGATTGGCTCAGCTTTGGCTGTTGTGAGCTAGTGGACAGATCTATCGGTCTCTCCTCCTCTCTGTATATCTGCCTTTGCAATACAAATAAGTCAATCTTTTTTTAAAAAAGATTTGTTTTAGTTTTTATTGGAAAATCAGATACACAGAGGAGAAGAGACAGAGAGGAAGATCTTTCATCCAATGATTCACTCCCCAAGTGACTGTAATGGCCGGTGCTGTGTTGATCTGAACACCAGGAGCCAGAACTTCCTCCAGGTCTCCCACGCGGGTGCAGGGTCCCAAGTCTTTAGGCCACCCTTGACTGCTTTCCCAGACCACAAGCAGGGAGTTGGAAGGGAAGTTGGGCTCTCGGGATTAGAACTGGCAACCATATGGAATCCCGACACATTCAGGGTGAAGACTTTAGCTGCTAGGCCACCACACCAGGCCAAAAAATAAAATAAATCTTTAAAAAATTATTATTAGGAAAGGCATTGTTACAGTGAGAGGGAAAGAGAGAGAGAGAGGTCTTCTATCTGCTTGCTCATTGCCTAAATGGGTGCAACAACTAAGGCTTAGCCAGATTAAAGCCAGGACCCAGGAACTTCTCTTGTGTCTCCAACCAACACGGGTGCAGGGCTCCTAGCACTTGGGCTATCCCCTACTGCTTTTCCAGGCACATCAGCAAGGAGCTCTGCTGCAAGTGGGCAGCTGGGATTCAAATTGGTGCCCATAATGTATGTTGTCATCACAGGAGGAGGCTTTACCCACTATGCCACATTGGCCATAGACATGAATGTTCTTTGGCCTTATGAAGCTTGTGATCCATTCAGTCCCAACTTACTGATCCTTTTCTCTATCCATTTTCTTTTGTTGTAGAGTCTATTGAATTTTTAATTTGGGTTATTTTGCTTCTTGATTCTAACATTTCCATATCATTCTTGTTTATATCTTCTGTTTCTTCACTGTCATCTTTTTTTCTTTTTTTAAACATTTATTTTTTTTTTTATTGGAAAGGCAGATCTACAAAGAAGAGTGAGCCATCCACTGGTTCACTTCCCAAATGTCTGCACTAACTGGAGATAAGATGATCTGAAACCAGGAGCAGCGCTGGCCTCTTTCTATTTCTTCATTTGTTGCAAGTGTTTTTGTAAATGTTACTGAAATAATTTGTGATACTTGTTTTAAATTTTACGTTCTCAATAATGGTGTTGGCATTTATCCATTGTCTTTTTTGAAGATTTATTTATTTTTATTGGAAAGTCAGATACGCAGAGAGGAGGAGAGACAGAGGAAGATCTTTTGTCTGAAGACCCACTCCCCAAGTGAGCCGCGACAGCCGGTGCTGCACCAATCCAAAACCAGGAGCCAGGAACTTCCTCCAGGTCTCCCATGCAGGTGCAGGGTCCCAAAGCATTGGCCTATCTTCAACTGCTTCCCAGGCTACAAGCAGGGAGCTGGACGGGAAGTGTGACTGCTCTGATTAGAACCGGTGTCCATATGGGATACGGGCGCATTCAAGGTGAGGACTTTAGCCACTAGGACAATTTGGCCATTATATTTTGAGATTATAGATATTATTGTTAAGAGATTTATTATTTATTTATTTGAGAGACAGTTATAGAGACAGGAGGAGAGAGAATCTTCCATCTGCTAGTTGGCGCTATAACTGGCAGGATGGGCTAGACCTGACCCAGGCTGAAGACAGGTCTCCCACATAGGTGCATGGGCTCAAGCATTTGGGGTATCCTTGGCTGCCTTCCCAAGTACACCAACAGGGAGTTGGACTGCAAGTGTAGCAGCCAGGACTCAAACTGGTGCTCACATGAAATGCTGGTGTTGCACTTGAAGGTTTAGCATCAGCCAGTCCCTATGGATATTATTGAATCTTCTGTTGTAGCTTTTTTTTTTTATATACTGCAACAGCAAACAGGGGGTGCTGCTATACACTGCCAAATGGAGTACAAGTCCAGGATCCTTACTTAGCCTCCTTGACATCTGAGGTTGGGACAGGAAGCTCTTCATGACTGCCCAGGTAAGGATATGTGTTCTGGCTCCACTATTTGCTGTTAATGATACCTTCCAAGCTGTGATCTCTCCCATGCAATATCCAATGACACATGTGGTATGTGGCCTTGCTAATGCCAGGATGTGGCCAGAGCCCTGATTCTCCACCACAGCCCTGATTCTCCACCACAGCTCCTCTGACCTTATCCTAGCAGGATGCAGGAAGGGTCCACTGTCGCTGCCACACCAGGGTGGAAGCAGGTTTCCCATGTGGTCTGGTATGAACCTGACATGCATCTGAGACCGGCACTAGTGGGTTCTTCCCTGTTAGAGCTTGCAGAGAGCAAAGTCCTGGATCTTAGGCTTTCCTGATATAATTCTCATGAGATGTAGGGATTTAAGTAGCTTATTACAGCACAATGAGGGTGAAGCCTGGGATCTCTTTTCTGTTATGGATACAGACAGGATCATGGTGTCCTCTGTTAGAGTTACCAGGACAGAACACTGATTATCTATAGGTTTTCTATTTTGCTAGGCTGCCCCCTTCCTGGTTCTTTAATTGCAAAGACCAGGTTTCTGTTAGTGCTTTTTGTTTGTTTTGCTGTGTACCACTGATATTTCTGGGTGTCTAAATTTTTCAACATCATGTTTGAGATATCTGAAGTAAAGAAAACACATACCCAGGGAAGTCACTCTCATTTCTTTGCTTGTTCCTCAAGATCCCTAGATAATCTGCCTTCTTTCTCTTTCACAGTCTGTCTACATATGCTTTGCAGACAGCATCAGGATTCTTATTTATTCTCACTCCATTCTGTGTCAAAGTGGCAGTCTCTAACACAATATTTAAAATTTTGACAAGTTGGCAGGTATGGCTGGGCGTGGTACCCAACAGTAACAATCAGAATGGGTATGGGCTGGTTGGGCAGGGCCACTTTGCCTGCCAGGATAGGAGGTGGACCAAGTCAGGCTTAGCCAAAGATGCACTAGTGTGTGTGAGATCTGCCACTGGGAGGAGACCTGATAGAGGAGCTTGGGGAACTATTCTGTCAGGATGCAGACCTTGCAGGTGAGCACAAGGACCCTGTTTAGGCAGGCTTACAATGCTTGTTGGCCTGCATATGAAGAGGTCTAGGGGGAGAGTCAGGCTGGGCTAACCAACTCTATCCACTGGTGCAACCATGAGCCAGAGTAAGTGCAGGCTAGTTTGCCGCAGCACCAACTGGCAAGTGTTGGGACTGGGGGAGTCCTGTTAAGCTAGATTGCAGAACCACCTGAAAAGGGCAGGATCTCAGAGTGGGGGTGGGCCTTGAAAGGGAACGGTGGACACCTCACTATTGGGCCGCAGCTCCCACAAGTGAGCATGAGATCACAGCTGGGGGTACACCTGGCTGGACAGGCAGTAGTACCCAGTAGCATAAGTGTGAGATGGACAGTGGGATCGGCTGGGTGGAGCTAAGCTGCATCAGCCAGTGGTATGTTCAAAAGCCGTTAGGGATGTGGAACAGACAAGTCTGCTGCACTTGTCTGCATGCGCAGGAACCAAGGTTAGGGCATAGGCTTCTTGGGGGTTATTGAAGATCACTCTGACTGAGCTGCAGTTCCCACTGGTGTATGTGAGGGCTGAGTGTGTGGTGGTGGGCTTGGCTGGGCTGGGCTGCAGCATCCATTGGTTTGCATAAGTGACGGGGTTAGAGACAGAACTGATCCAGCAACTGCAACTGCAACCACCAGTGAGCATAGGCTAATGTGGGTATTGGACTGAATCAGACCTTGTATTGTGTAGCACAAACAAGAGTCAGGTCTAGGGTCACCTCAGGTGAAGTTTCTTTCAGGATCCCCTTCCCCCAAATGAACTGTTGGACTCAGAACTCCAACCATGGAGAAAACAGTAGGTTCAGTGGTCTGACCATGCAATGCATGTGTCAGAACCAGGCCTCTTCAGATGCTAATTCAGAGCAGTGGATGGCATGCTCAAATGTAAATGGAGGATATGGCAGTCCATTGGGGCCTACAGAAGACATCTAGTACTAAACCAGCAGAAGGAGAGCAGAGCAAATTAGATTAACTACCCCAACCAGGAGTTGACAGCCAGTATCTGAGTGCATGGAGACTCTAAGGTGGACTATTTCAGCTAATGGACTTTGGAAGGATTTCCTCATCCTTGGATTGGTGAGACTGACAGCATTTCAGAACTATCAAAACCATCTGAGTAGAACCCTTGGAGCATGTGCCACATCGGGGAGCTAGGATGACACTGGGAAGCCATTCCCCATCCCATGGGTACTGAGTTGGTTAGAATGCTGGGTACAGCTTCTCCTCTTTTCTTTTCCCCTTCCCCCGGATACAGGAAGAAGAAAAAAATTTGGAAAAATGGTCTCATCCACTTTCTTCTAATGCCCAACCATTCCCACCCTAATCATTTGTCTACATGGGCATGCATCCTTCTCAGCTTTGTAAATGTCATCAAAAATAAAATCAGGGCCCGGCACGGGGGCCTAGCGGCTAAAGTCCTCGCCTAGAACATGCCAAGATCCCATATGGGCACCGGTTCTAATCCCGGCAGCTCCACTTCCCATCCAGCTCTCTGCTTGTGGCCTGGAAAAGCAGTCGAGGATGGGCCAACGCTTTGGGACACTGCACCCGTGTGGGAGACCTGGAGGAGGTTCCTGGCTCCTGGCTCCGGATTGGCACAGCACCGGCTGTTGCAGCTCACTTGTAGAATGAATCATCGGACGGAAGATCTTCCTCTCTGTCTCTCCTCCTCTCTGTATATCTGACTTTGCAATAAAAATAAATACATCTTAAAAAAAAATTGAACACACTGGCAAAAGAACAAAAAAGAATGGTTGGGCCCTGCGCGGTGGCGCAGTGTTAAGGTCCTGGCCTTGCACTCCCGGGATCCCATATGGGCACTGGTTCTAATCCCGGCAGCCCCGCCTCCCTTCCAGCTCCCTGCCTGTGGCCCGGGAAGGCAGTTGAGGACGGCCCAAGGCTTTGGGACCCTGCACCCGCGTGGGAGACCCGGAAGAGGCTCCTGGCTTCAGATCGGTATAGCATCGGCCGTTGCGCTCACTTGGGGAGTGAATCATTGGATGGAAGACCTTCCTCTCAGTCTCTCCTCTCTGTATATCCGCCTTTCCAATAAAAAAAAATAATAAAAATAAATCTTTAAAAAAAAAAAGAATGGTTAGGTCTAGTAATTGCTATAAAGAAGAAAGCTGATAAAAACAAAGTTGTTCTAAAAATTCCAGCCTTGGGCCCGGCAGCATGGGCCTAGCGGCTGAAGTCCTTGCCTTGAACGAGCTGGGAGCCCATATGGATGCTGGTTCTAATCCCAGCAGCTCTGCTTCCCATCCAGCTCCCTGCTTGTGGCCTGGGAAAGCTATAGAGGACGGCCTAATGCTTTGGGATCCTGCACCCGCGTGGGTGACCTGGAAGAAATTCCTGGATCCTGGCTTCGGATTGGCACAGCACCAGCCATTGCGGTCACTTGGAGAGTCAATCATCGGATGGAAGATCTTCCTCTCTGTCTCTCCTCTTCTTTGTATATCTGACTTTGCAATAAAAATAAACAAATCTTTAAAAAAATAAAAATTCCAGCCCTGTGACAGTTGCCTAAGGAATAAACCACACCGAATATAAAATGTATTTGTAAATAGGCTCATTGTGATCACTTGGGGAGTGAAGCAGTGAATTGAAGATCTCTGTCTCTGACTCTAACTCTCTATAACTTTTTCAAGTAAAATAAATAAATCTTCTTTCAAAAAAGGTACATTGCTATTGATGTTCATAATATAAAGTTACTGAAAAACTATGAGTATAAAAAAGTAGAGAAGTACTGAAAACAGTATAAATAGAGATCCACCTTGATCTGATAACCCACAGGTAAACTGAAAAAAATCATGTCAGAAATGTATTTACTGCACCTACCAAACATCATGGCTTAGCCATATAGTACACTGAAGATATTGGTTTACCTCTGTGACCGCCCGCCACCACAAGAGAGTAGTACTACACTAGATACCCCAAGCTTTGGGGAAAAAAAAGTCAAAGATCAAAATTCAAAATTTCAAATGTGTGTTCAACTGAATACATACTGCTTTCTGCACATATACAGTAGAAATTTTTTAGCCCGAACCATCAAACAACCGTTTGTACTATATTATCTACATGACAACACATGCACAAAGGGAGTCAGCTAGCTAACATGGGATAAGGGAAGAAGGAAAAGGCTTTCAGTTTCTAATCTGTATCACTTTATATCATTTGACAGCTCAGGACTCGTCTGTAGTACCTCTAAATTCAGTAGAAAAAAAAGAGGGGTTACACTTTTGGCAAAAAAACAAAGCTCAATCTCACAGTTACAATGGAAGACTGCTTACCTGTTCACAGAGTGTTTACACAACCACACACAATTATTAAAGTCAGCGCTGCTTCATGATATTCTTGTTTTTTTCCCTTTGGTACAGGTTGATTGAAGAGCTACTGTACGTACAGCTTCTTTCTTCATGCCTTTGTGTTTAGTTCGAAGATTGGAATGTATATCTAATAAGATACATAACAGCAACAATAAAAAGCAGAGTGCTGACTTCCAGGTGAAGGTATGAAGATGTAACATTCTTGTTAAGATGACAGCCAAATCAAAAAAATGGTCCACTAGGAAATATTTGCAGGAGGAGGCAGGATTGGAGCTGAGCTTGGAAGCAAGTGTAAAGAGCAGACGAGCAGGGGAAGAGGCAGAGCAGGAACAGTGCCTGGTAGAAAGTGTTTGAGGTAGGAAAGTGTTATACTTAGTTGTGGGCTCTGCCTCTATAAGCACAAGAAAAACAGTCCAGACCTGAATCTGCCCCTTCTTGATAATCCCAAGCACCAAGGACTGACTCAGCTGGGATTCCTCCATTGGTCCATTTTCCCTCAAGCTGGTTATTCTGTTTGTCCCCAATACAGTCCGAGTAAAGTGTTCTGAACTCACAAAGCTGATGGCACTAAGAGGGCACAAACTTCATCCAACCACGGCATTCAGGGGGTGTCACTAATGGGAGGGCCTCAGGCTAATGGACACATGTTATCAAAAGGGGTCCTCTCCAGAGTATTGTTTACAAAAGCGAAGTCTTTGCTTCCTGGCTCATTCTGAGAACCTCCTCCACCCACTTTCCCCCTTGCTGTGTGATGTTCTGCACCAACTTAACATCCAGCTAAGGTGAAGATGACAATCAGATGCCAAAATAAGGGGACACCTGGTCCTGGACAGCACAACTCCAAAACCGAGAGCCAAAATAACTCTTTTCCCTCCATAAATGTTTCACTGTAATAATGAATAGTTGACAATACCCTAAACCTATTCCTGACCCTTCTTTGCTCTGTTGTGGGGAGCTGACCTCTGGCTCAAAGCACTCAACTCTCGTGGTCCAGGAATAAAACGAGAAAATTTGAGCAACAGTCCAGTCTTTCTTAATTACTGCTTCCCCAGTTTGGTGGGATTCAGAAAATGAGGGCTGGGAACCCAGACCACCACATATCTGCAGAAAGACCACCATCCCTGGCTGTAGCCGACCTTTCTGGCTCCTTATCATAAAGCTCATCTGTTGCTGGTCGGTCCTGGCCAAAGAAAGGATGCACAGCATGGGGGCGGCCGCGGCGCCACCAAGGCAGACAGTTCCAGGCACTGTCATCACACCTGGGGAGGCCCAAGGACCGACTTGCTGGGCCCCACTCATGGCACATGATTCATTCTCAGCAGCAGATTCCACACTTTTAACCCCAGGCTCCCCTGGTGCATGGAGGGCTCAGTTCTTCCTGGGGGCAGCCTCAGAAATCCTGGGATATGGCCACCCTGGCCTTCCTTATCACTCCAGCCAGGTGGCCTTGGGGAAGCAAGTGCTTGTCTAGCTGACTTGCACATGTGTGCCTGCTAGGTTGCCCAGACCTGAAGCTTTGACTCAGCAGCAGCTTGGGTATTCCTCAGAACTTGGACCAAAAGAAGGTATTACTTGGCCCAACTAATTGTTTTTCAAATGCTGTGTCTTCCCCTTGACACTCCAGCCCAGCTGCTAGCTGTTAAAATACAGTAATTGCTGGGCCCGGTGGCATGGCCTAGTGGCTGAAGTCCTTGCCTTGAACACACTGGGATCCCATATGGGTGCTGGTTCTAATCCCCGCAGCCCTGCTTCCCATCCAGCTCCCTGCTTGTGGCTGGGAAAGCAGTTGAGGACGGCCCAAAGCCTTGGCACCCTGCACCCGTGTGGGATACCTGGAAGAAATTCCTGGCTCCTGGCTTTGGGTCGGCATAGCATCGGCCGTTGCACTCACTTGGGGAGTGAATCATCGGATGGAAGATCTTCCTCTCTGTATATCTGACTTTCCAAAAAACAAATAAATCTTAAAAAAAAAAAGAATATAGCAATTGCTGTTAGTTCTCACAAGGATTAGTTCACTAAAGATAGGCTTCTCCCACTTGAACATGGCTAGAAATCGTCTGGGGGATCCTGCAGCAGTATAGCTGGGTATTGGATATGTAGGGCTGGGGTCCCTGTTTGTGTTTCTCCTCTCTTTCCTCACTGTGGGGCTCATTCTTGACTGTGAACCATAGAGGTGCAAGATATTAGGGAGGTGGCCAGTGTCCTTTAGCCAAGATGGACCATGAGAATGCATGGATTTATCCCTGTTAGGAAAAAATGTAGAATGAGATTCCAACACGGAATAATCACACATGTGCTCCTGCCCATGTTATCTGCAACACACTTTGAGTGTTACATGTTTACTTTAGGAATGTGCAATGTTTCTAGGCACTGTTACTTACCAACAGACCTCACAATGCTAACTTCACAATTTCTTCTTAAAAATAAAAAAGATGATAGTACATTGGTCTTCCTAGCTGTTTGTGGTTTTTTTCTCTCTTTTTTTTCCCCGAAAGGTAGAGTTAAGAGAGGTCTTTCATTTGCTTGATTTACACCCTAAAAGGCTCCCAAAGCTGGGCTGTCTGCTGTTTTCTCAGGTGCAACAGCATACAGCTGGTTGGAACTGCAGTACCTGGTGCCTTTACATGGGACTGATACTGCAGGCTGCAGCTCAGACTGCTAAGCCAAGTGCCGGCTCATTTGTCCATAGTTTTCAGTGACCTAAAGAGTTCTTTTTCCTCAAGCTGTGTTTATATTAAACCCAAAGCAGAGAGAATGTCACACTGAGGCAGTAGAGCATTCTAAGAAGGAAGGACATTAATATTGTTAGGAGAAATTTCAGATGTCATAATTGGAAGGATGCTGCTGGCATCAAGTGGGTGGAGCCCAGGGATGCTACTCAATTGTTCACAACACAAAGAATGTGCCTCTACAATTAGAACTTGCTGGTCCAAAATGTTGATATTTTTTTTAAGGAACCTGTGTTAGAATATTAAAATCTGTTTATTTTCATTATTTATGGGGTGGGCATACAGAGAGATCTTCCAACTCCTGGCTCACTTCCCAAATGCCCCAAATAGGTGCAGTGAGACCAGCAGCCAAAGCCAGGTACCTGGAACTCAATATAGTTCTCCCATGTGGGTAACAGGAACCCAAGTCCCTGAGCCATGTCCTGTGACCTCTCACGGTGTGTTATCGGTAGGCAGCAGCAGTTCACACACACACACACACACTCAGAATGGCATCTGAGTGTCCCAAACAGGGCCTGATGTGCTGTGCCAAGCGCCAGCTCTGAGGTTCACAACTGACATAGACCCTATCAGAACATTTTTACATTACCTGCTTTGCCCCTTACAAGTCAATTTTTTGACCCTTTTTTATTTATTCTAAAGATTCGTGTTTGTTTCTTTAAAAGGTAGTTACAGAAAGAGATCTTTTAATGTGCTGGGTGGCTCTCCAAATGACTGCAATGGCTAGGGCTGAGTGAGGCTGAAGCCAGGAGCCAGAACTTTGTTGTCATCTCCCACACGGGTGGCAGAGGCACACGCACCTCACCTGTCTTGTGCTGTCTTCCCTGGCACATTAGCAGGGCGCTGGCCTGCAAGTAGAGCAGCTGGGACTCAAGGTAATACTCATATGGGCTGCCCGCTTTGCAGGCAGCAGCTTAACCACAATACCAGCCCCGCTGACCTTCGTATACTTTTCTTGCCAGTATATGATGCCAATCATGAGAGTGCCAATTAAATTTTCTTTTGAGGTAAGAATAAAATTCATGTTGTCTACGGTCACACCACCTTGAATGCGCTCGATCTCATCTGCTCTTGAAATCCATGTTAACTGTGTGCTTACTGAGTTTGAAAGGTGTCTCCACCTGTGTAACTAACATCCTCCTGAGACCAAGAGTACCACTTAACCTGCAAGTACCTTTGTACGGCTGAGTTCCCATCCAGCTCCCTCAGGAGGCAACAAATGTTCCATTCTTCCCCACCATAGTTTTGCCTGTTCTAGAATCTGCTATAGCCGGAAACACAACAGTAGGTACTTCTGTGTAGGGTTTTCATTTAGTATATTCTAAACATTGACCCCTATTCTTGTGAACTTGTGAATATTACTCTTTTTTTTTTTTCTATTTTGTTGGGCAGGAATGTTGTTGTATTCCCTGTTTTAATGGAAAACTGAGCTGCTTCCAGTTGTGTGTGTGCACACGCACGCAGGAGGGGCTCTACTGGAGAAAAGACAGCCACAGTTTTTGGCTATTATGAATAAAGCTGCTGTGAGGATTGTCGCATGGTGTTTCACTCCTGAGGACATCTCAACACGTTATTAAACACGACGCTCCACGCACTTCCGGATTAGTAAAGCTACAGCCACGAGCAAGACAAAGGCACCTACTTCTCCAAGAGCTAACGTTTCCACATTACCGTGGATGATGGACACCGATAAACACGGAGGTAAAAAGGAAAGAAAAATAACAGAGCGATGTTTGCGGGAGCAAACCAGTGCGATGTGAGTTGACCAGTGATCATACTCCCTAGTTTGCGAGGCAACGGCCAGCCTAAAAAAAAGCAAACTGAGGCACAGTGACGACGACAGAGCCTCCTGGAGCCAGTGGGGTAAGTGGTCCTGAGGGTGGCTTAGAGACGGAAAGAAGGGACAAAGTGAGGGCTACAGCAGATGCTGCAATGACGCCGGGTCACACGGGCAGTACAGGCTGTCCAGCAGCTCCTGTAACCCCCAGGGATAACCCACAAGGATAACCACAGGGATAACCCCCAGGGATAACCCACAGGGATAACCCACGGGGATAACCACAGGGATAACCCACAGGGATAACCACAGGGATAACCCACAGGGATAACCACAGGGATAACCCACGGGGATAACCCACAGGGATAACCACAGGGATAACCCACAGGGATAACCACAGGGATAACCCACGGGGATAACCCACAGGGATAACCACAGGGATAACCCCCAGGGATAACCACAGGGATAACCCACGGGGATAACCACAGGGATAACCCACGGGGATAACCCACAGGGATAACCACAGGGATAACCCACGGGGATAACCACGGGGATAACCCACGGGGATAACCCACAGGGATAACCACAGGGATAACCCACGGGGATAACCACAGGGATAACCCACAGGGATAACCACAGGGATAACCCACGGGGATAACCCACACGGATAACCACAGGGATAACCCACACGGATAACCACAGGGATAACCCACAGGGAAACGGCAGCAAACAGGGACAAGCATTTCAATGACCTCAGCCGGTGACGACAATGATCCCCTCAGGACCCAGCAGTCTCAGCGCCCCGATACCCAAGCTTCCAGTCACGGGGCTCCAAGGTCTCCGGATAACGGAGCCTCAGTCTTACCCGATTCTCAGTTCCTTTCTCACAGATACCAACCAAGGACGATCAGGAGAACTTTTCCTGCTGAGGGAACAGGTGTGAGGTTCTGTTTAGAAAAGAAAAAACAAAACTGAAAAAAAAAAAAACTATGTGATGGCACTTACAGGAAAAAAATAAAAACCTAGAAAAAAAAGTCCGATTCTTCACTGCATCCTCTGGTTTTTTATTGTGGCCGTACGACAGGTGTTCGTTTGTCACTGTCGCTTCTTTACCTTTTTATTCTGACGAGGTGCGAGTGAGGTTACTCAAGGTAACCTGGGCACTCAGGTTTCGAAAGAGAAGGTGGGCAACTGGGGGAGGGACCAACGTGGCCCCGTCCACCTCAGCCGCGGGCAGCGGCGTTCTGTCCTCGAACTTCCGGCGGCGGCGCGCAGGCGCCCTGCAAACCGCCACAGACCCACGGGCCCCGGGGCCAGGCCGCTTCCCACAATGCCGCGTACCGGAAGCTGCTGCCTGCCCGGGTTCACTGTGGCTTCGACCCTGTCGCTCTCTATTCGTCACCGGGAGGAAGACGGCGCTGCCAGTCCGGCCCAGACACCCACTAGGGGATGCAGTTATGGGTGCTGCTTCCGCGGGTGAGTTCTGTAGCCGCCGACCCTGGTTGGGACTTGCCGACGACCCTCGCCTCGTCAGCCCTGATCTGGTTCGCAGCTCGCAGGCCCCTTGTCCTCGGGGGGCACGTTACCCACTTCCCGGCACGCCGTTTTCATTGGCTGCCGTTTCTGTCAATCCCGGGAGCTGGCCAATGAGAGGGCGGCGATGGCGTCCTCCTGGATCCCCCGGGCCGGGGGCGCCCCGTGAGTGCGGAGCGGTCGTCCGGGCGGCGGGGGGCGCCCCGCGGGTTGGGGCTCGGGCTGGCGGCTCCGTGAGCCTGGGAGGAGGAGCAGGGTGCTGTCACCCGTCCCATGGAGTGCTCCCGGGAGAAAGCCGGTCCCCGCAGCACTTCCAAGACACGTGTCACACCTGCTGACAGGCTGCCCCACTAAAGTTCCAATGGCGTGGATGGGCAGGGGGAGACCGGGCGGGCAGCGAGGGAAGGGGGAGCCGGCCGGACTGGGACTGGCGCTGCTTTACGTGTTGCGTGGTGATGCGACTAAAGTTTAGATTGTCGTCTCAGACGCACCTTCCCCCACCCCCCCAATTGTCTAATGGTTTAATGATGTGTCTGTGGGCGATGGCACCCACAGGACTCCCTGGCGTCTCGTTAGGGGCCTTTAGAGTTGTCCAGAGTTGTTTTTTCTTGGAGCTCTTCCCGCAGCCATCAAGTGACTGTCTGTCGCCACCTGCAGCGATTACAGTTCATCTGTCAAGTATTCCTTCGGAGTCTGAGCTGCTGGCATCCTTATAGCTGGCTCTCCTCCCGCAGCCTTCCGAATTCTTCCTTCTCCATCCTTTCCTTTTCCACCAGAGCTTCTTTGCTTCAATTCCAAGAAACTGGGTACTGTTTTGTGTTCATTTGTTTCTAGAGTCTGTGCTTTTAGATAGATACATTATATGAAATGATACTTGAGGGTGGAGAGAAGCTTGTAAAATGTACCTTGATTCGTGTACAGCCAATTACTTTGTGTTCCTTTGTGAATAGTTTAAGTTCTTGGAAAAGGCAGTCTTACTGGTTACTTGATGTGGCACTGGTTCGTTTTTTCCCATGAACCTGTGTGCAGTACCTTTAATTACACTGACTCATCAATAGAAAAATAAGTATGTCCAAGGTTTTAGATTAAGTCAGGGATGGCAACTGTAGATCAGAACTCAAAACCTATTTTCAAAATACATTTTCCAGGCCCTTCTTTACTGTTATAAAATCAGGATTTTAATGATAACCTCAGGAAAAATAGCTGTTATGGTCATTCAGGAGATTTTGACACTAACAAGTTCTTCTACATATAAAAGCACAAGTTAGTGAAATTGTTACTGTTAAGAATAAATGTGTATGTCTTTTTAGCAGTTTTTGTTTTTTAATTTTGAATTGTTTGCTAAAGAGGAAAAGATGTGATGTATACCAAGGTTTGGCATAGCTTTCCAAACTGGCTGCTACAGTGAATGTTGGTGATCCCTACCAAATAGAGCTTGCTTTCTTTCTTTCTTTCTTTCTTTTTTTTTTTTTAGGATTTTAGTATTATTATTATCGTTAATATTGGAAAGGCAGATTTACAGAGAGAAGAGACAGAGAGAAAGATCTTGTGCGCTAGTTCTCCAAGTGGCCACAATAGCTGGAGCTTAGTCAATCAAGGAGCCAGGAGCTTCCTCCAGGTCTCCCATGTGGGTGCAGAGTCCCAAGGCTTTGGGCCATCTCCGCTGTGTTCCAAGCCTCAAGTAGGGAGCTGGATGGGAACTGAAGCAGCTGGGACACCAGCTGGCACCCATATGAGATGCAGGCAGTTGCAAGCAGAGGATTAGCAAGTTGAGCCTTCGCACTAGCCCCTACTAATTTTTTCTTAAAGATATCGTCAATTCAATTTGTATAGGCTGCATAACTAAAAAAGTTCATTTAGAAGGAAAGGAAGTCAGTCTGTTGTTTAAAAGTGCTCCGTCCTGGGCCAGGTGCTGTGGGTAGATAGCTGAGGTCCTCGCCCGGAGAATGCCTGGATCCCATATGGGCACTGGTTCTAATCCTGGCAGCTCCACTTCCTATCCAGCTCCCTACTTGTGGCCTGGGAAGGCAGTCAAGGACAGCCCGAAGCCTTGGGCCCCTGCACCCATGTGGGAGACCTGGGGGAGCTCCTGGCTCCCTGCTCCAGATCGGCTCAGCACCGGCCGTTGTGGTCACTTGGGGAGTGAATCATTGGATGGAGGATCTTCCTCTCTGTCTCTCCTCCTCTCTATATCTGACTTCGCAATAAAAGTAAATAGATCTTAAAAAAAAAGTGCCGCATGGTTCCCACTGTGGTAGTGAGTGTTGAATCCTTGACTGTGGTAAGTGCTGAGATGTCCCATGAGATCTGTGGAACAACACTGTGGTTCCGCCCTGACCTTTTACATTTATTGAAAACCTTTCTTAATCGCGCTGCGGGTCAGTGTTGCAACACATGAGAAATAGGGTAATACTGTCCTACCTACCTGAGGGTTGCCAATGAAAGCCAGATTATATGTGTAAATGGGCTTGGGAAGTTATCCATGACAAATTATGCAAAAAATATGTACTTCATTATATTTCTGTCTTAAGGAAGGAAAAGTATGCAGTGCATTTTCTTTCTGGTCAAGCTCATTTTCATCTTGTTTTCTAGGCTGTGTCTTGTGTCAGTAAGTAACCCGTGAAGTGCCAACATGGGGAAGAAACGCCCAAAGGGAAAAACTGTTGCAGTTGATGACTCCTCTGAATCCGCAGGTAAATATCATTTATTGAGTATTAAAAGTTTTGTTTAAATCCCTGAAAGTGGTGTATTTTAATATTTTCAAGTGGGCTCAAAGTGTATATCATTGTTAAGTCAATTACATTTTCAATTCCTGTTTATATCTACATTTCACTCAGTGGTCTTCAACAGCATTTTTAATAACATGTTATACCATTCTGTAAAGTCTGGGAGCATATGTTTTGTGATCTATTTAGCTAATTTTCTAATGTTACGGACTTTGTTATGAATTGAGCAGTGAGAAATGTTACTGGCAAAGCTTAGTGGGTCCTTTCTTCAGCTTACTGTAGAACTGAAAATGCCGGAATCGGTTGTAGACAGTTTGGTGAACAGGTGAATGTGAAAAGAGCAGGGAAGGGGAAAGTACTTCCCAGGAGAGAGCAGGAAGCGCAGGGGCATGGCATGTCTCTTAAAAGGCGAGCGAGACGCCACTTTTTTTTTTTTTTAAAGATTTATTTTTATTATTTTTTCATTTGGAAAGGCGGGATATACAGAGAGGAGAGACAGAGAGGAAGATCTTCCATCCGATGATTCACTCCCCAAGTGAGTGCAACGGGCCGATACTATGCCAGTCCGAAGCCAGGAGCCTCTTCCGGGTCTCCCACGTGGGTGCAGGGTCCCAAAGCCTTGGGCCGTCCTCAACTGCTTTCCCGGGCCACAGGCAGGGAGCGGGAAGGGAAGCGGGGCTGCCGGGATTAGAACCGGCGCCCATATGGGATCCCGGGCGTGCTAGGCGAGGACCTTAACCACTTGTGCCACCGCGCCGGGCCCGAGACGTCACTTTTTAGAGTCACTCGCTGACTGCCTGGGTGGGAACCTGTGAGGAAGGCATTCCCCACCGACAGCCTCTATACCGATTGGGACATGGCTGGGCAATCCCTGTGCCACCCACCTGAAAGTGTGGTTTGCTGGTGAGTTTTTCTCCCCTTAATGTGTCAGACTTCTGAGAGTTTAAATGCTCTCCTGTTTGCCAGTCTGTGTGAACATGGGGCAGTAAGCTGGTGGCTTTCTTACTCTGCCGTGTTGGAGAGCGGGTTGTAGGCCTCAGCAGCTTTGCTCCTGGACCTGACTCAGTCCTTAGTGGGCTTGGACAAACTCAACAAACGTTTTATCTCTGCACATTCAGTCTCTCTCTTTTGTTGCAGAGCCTGTAAGTACAGTTGTCTCCTACGAGGGTGTAAATTTCTGCCAGGTTCTTTTGATTCCGGTCTCAGATCGCCATCCTAATATGTTTTATAAATTTACAGATCTCTTGGTGACATGATAAAGTGCCCATTTCCCTGAACCTTCGCCAGCAGTTCTTAGTATTGTTTGTAAATACTTCTGCTTGTTTTATTAGTTAAAACATGTCTTCTTGGGCCCAGCGCGGTGGCGCAAGTGGTTAAGGTCCTCGCCTAGCACGCCCGGGATCCCATATGGGCGCCGGTTCTAATCCCCACAGCTCCACTTCCCTTCCAGCTCCCTGCTTGTGGCCTGGGAAAGCAGTTGAGGACTGCCCAAAGCTTTGGGACCCTGCACCCACGTGGGAGACCCGGAAGAGGCTCCTGGCTTCGGATCGGCATAGCATCGACCGTTGCACTCACTTAGGGAGTGAAACATCGGATGGAAGATCTTCCTCTCTGTCTCTCCTCTCTGTATATCCACCTTTCCAATGAAAAAATAATAAAAATAAATCTTTAAAAAAAAAAAACATGTCTTCTTTTTTAGTTTCCCATTTCTTTGACTACTGGGATTTCGTAGTTTTGGACTCGTTTTCATTCCTGTTTCTTTTCGTGGTGTAGTTTCACCCAGTAGGTTAATTGTGCCACTTGGCCAGCTCCCAAGCCCCCGGGATCCCTATCCAGGCCCTTTGGAACGGCTTGTGAGCCCTCTGCATTTCCGACTGCATAGGGATTTCCGGCTCAGATGCAGGTGCAGAGTTTCTACACGTGGGTGGGTCTGCCATTCAGGAGGGCACTACTCGGTGCACAGCATTCAGTAGTGTGTACTACTCGGTGCCTCTCTCCATGGGTCAGGCCCTTTGGGGTAGCTCTTCTCTACAGGGGTCATTGTTTACACTGGAAGTGTAATGTCAGAAAGATCAGAACTCCCCCTGTGGTGTAGCCGCTCGGTAGTTGTATAATGTTGTTCGCTGTATCTTAGCTACCTTGTTTGTCTTTGGGAACAACAGTGTCTTTCTCTTCAGGTGAATTTGAGGTTGAAATGATGTAGTTTAATGCAGAGTGTTTAGCACAGCTAATATGAAGTGTGCAAGCAGTATCAGAAATATATGTTCCAGGACTCTATACATGTTAACTTCCCTGTGAAACTTTTAGGAACCTTATCCTTCTCTTACACTGTAAAAACTTATGTCTTACACATGATTTAACTGTCTTATTTTTTCCCAGAGCGTTAGCTACTTAAAAAGAAAATTTGTGTGGGGCTGACATAGCATAGTGTGTTAAGCTGCTGTTTGCATTGCTGCATCTTGTATCAGAGTGCTGGTTCAGCTGCCAGCTGCCTTCATTCTAGCCTCTTGGTAATGTGCTGGAAAGGCAGTAGGTAGTCTCCCAAGAGCTTGGACCCTGTCACTCGTGTTTGAGACTATAGATGAAGTTTTTGGCTGCTAAGTTTGGCTCGTCCAAGCCCCAGGTGTTGAAGCTGTTGAGGAAATAAGCCAGTTGATGGTTGCTTTTTCTTCGAATAAATAAATGGGTATTTTTTAGCAAACGGGAGTCACTGCAATGGTTGCTTGTGCGTTCACTGGCATTTGGCAGCGGGGTGGCTGCAGCAGGCATATTTCTGAGAGAATGAAGGAACAGCTCTATAAATTTTTTTACTGACCCACTGAACTTATTTTTGGAATGACAGATCATTTCTTATAAAAGAGTGTTGCTTTGTGCACATTGTTGTGAACAGGTACTAGAGATTCTGGACTTTTCTTCCCTGCCCTTCTCATCCCTATGTTCGAGCTCACAGAGCCAGGCATTCACAGCAGCTGCAGCAGCAGTTGGCAGGAATTATTTGGTTGTTCTTTTTAACTAACAGTGACTAGAAAGCAAAATTCATTCACTCTTCTGTTCCAGAATCACAACAGCCATGGTTGTAAGGAACTGCAAGATTGAACTGCAAAGATTTCACTGCAGCTCCAGTTCAGGTCACTGGTGAAGCAGAGGAATGTTGGCCTTTTAAACAGAAATATTATTTGGAACCTTTTATGATAAGGAGAGTGAGATATATGATAAAGGACCATAACATTAAGAAAATAGTCATATTTATACATAAGCATATATAAATATGTGTGGAGTATAGTGATTTCCAAAAAAATAAACTTTTAAATTTGTGTAAGATTCCTTTCTGTCAATCTCCTAATGCTCAAATATCAAAGAAAAAATGTTCAAGATTTATTCTTTATTTGAAAGGCAGAAGAGAGACAGAGAAAGAATCTTACATTAGTTGGTTCATTTCCCAAATGACCGCAATGGCTGAGGCTGAGCCAGTGTGAAGCCAGGATCCAGGAGCTTCTTCTAGGTCTCCAGTGTGGGTGTAGGGGCCCAAAGCTTTGGGCCATGCTCCACTGCTTTCCCAGGCACATTAACGGGGAGCTGGATCAATAGTCGAGCAACTGGGACATGAACTGATTGCCCTATTGGATGTCATAATCAGAGGCTTAACATGCTACGTGACAACACTGAGACCCCCCCCCCCCCCCAAAATTTTAAGCTTTCATGTTGTCTATTTATGTAGTAAACTTACTTTTGAAGTTTGGTAAAGATTAAATTTTGTGGTTAATTGAAAAGGCTATATATATTTCTTTAACTTTGTATGTTTCTTTACTGTTTATTTTAATAGAGTCTGTGTGCAAACACCTTAGAAAAGGACTGGAACAAAATAATTTGAAAAGGGCTCTAGTGAATGTGGACTGGAATATTTGCCAAGACTGTAAGGCGGACAATAAGATAAAAGATAAATCTGAGGAAGAAGCAGAAGAAAACCCTTCAGTTTGGCTGTGTCTTAAATGTGGCCATCAGGTATGCCTGTATTTTCATCAATAAGGGATTTTAAAAACTTTTTGATCTTGCTTGAGAAGGTATTCCCTGTAGGTCTGGTGTGTATAACCACGTTACTGGGCGGTATTGATCATGTTTTCTAGGGAGTTGGTTCTGAGACTGGACTTTTTTAATATAGGTGCTGAGTCAGTGAGTGTGCTCAGGTACCACACAAGTAAGAGAGGGAGGCAGTTTGAGGCAGAGGAAGAATCTGGTTGAAGAGGAACTTGTAGTAGGGCCTCAGCCAACATGTAACCCAGATCCGTTAGATAAGTCCTAAATTGAGTCAAGAGACCAAGTCTTGTACCTGCGTGTAGACCAGTCATTGGATGTGGCCTGTCCCTCAAATGCTGTAGGGACCTTGGGCAAGGCAGCACCCTTCTGTGAGAGTAATTCTTGGGGATGGATAGATTGAGCTTTGATCTCTCAGCCGGCCACCTTCATGGCAGTTGGGGTAAGGAATATCAAGGTCTGGCATGGGGAGAAGGTATTTGGCTGGTGCATCACAGTGTCCACTAAACCAGCTCACAGCAACTGCCAAGTTATTAAGTGTCATAACCTTCAGTCACCCTTAGTGATGACAGTGACGACTCTAAGTGTTAGGACACTGGGATACTAGACAATCCTATAATGAATTTTCAAGATAGGGCAGAAACACTTTAAAAAATAAATTTTGGTCAAAAATTTCATTGAAAAAATCTTAGATTCACATGTGGTTCTGAAAAATAATACGGAGGTTTTTTTTTTTTTTCTTACTGTTAACACTGTGTATATAACTTGATAAAATGTTACAGACTGAGGGAGATTACCCCTGGAGCTCTGGTGGGCATGACTTAGAGCTTACCTGCCAGCCATGAGTATTGTACATGACCTGTGTACATGATTGGAGGGTCTAAAGGGATAGACGTGCCTTCTGCTGTTGTTGGGTGGGAGGACTGTCGGGGAATGTCTCCTGCCCTTCCCCTTTTTTAGTCAATATAAGCTTGTGCGTGCATTACAGTAAAAGGACATGGTTGCCCAGGATGTCTCCGTTGGGTCTTGGGCTGCAGGACAGTGTCACCTCACCCCATCAGTGACAGAAAAAAACTCCAAGAACAGACGTGGGGTAGTCTGATCTCATTCAGATTCCTGTAGTATTTTCTGTCATTATTTATGTATTGTGTTCTGTAAACTTTTATCACCATGAATTTGTGTGCCCATCACTACAGTCAAAATCCTGAATAGGGAGCAGACATCTAGATTAACATAGAGACACCTGCTTGCTACATCAAGGTGAAGGAGCTTGATGCCAAGGGCTAGTTCTTGATTGAAACTTCTTGCTGGTGCATCTCCTGGGAGGCAGTTCTTGAGTTCCTGTTACCTGCAGGACAGACCTGGGTTGCATTTCTGTTTTCTGCCTCCTGACCTGGCCAAGCCCTGGCTGTTACCGCCATTCCAGGAATGAACTAGCCAGCCTTTGTAGTATTGTCACAATTGCTATTTTAGCCATTGTAATGGGTATATAGTTAGAGCTAATTGTCAAGAGCAGGTGTTTGGTCTGATGCTGGCTAAGATGTCTGTGTTGCTTGCTGGAATGCATGCATGCTGTTCTGGACTCTGCAGCTCTCTCTGTCACAGACCCTGGGCGGCAGCACGTAATGGCTTTGAATAGCAGTATCCCAGCTACATGTGTGAGAATTCTTAGCTCTTGATTTTTGGTCTGGGCAAAGACCCAGTACTGTGGACGGAAGATCAGGCTGTTTCTGCCTTCCAAATACAAGGAAGAATTAGGGAAAAAAAGGGAGAAGTAAATTGGTGTTAGAAAAAAACTATTTGCTGTTTATTTGTTGCAAATTAGCCTCTTGCATACATGTGATAAATATGACTATATTTTGCCATTTCAAATTTGCAGACTGTATTTTCTGTTGTAAATTTTATTCTGCCTCATTTCAACTTCTGCAGGAAAGACAGCTTCTGTTTGAACTGCTAATGCGCATTCACTAGTTGGCTTCTCCATTGCCAGTGATTAACTGTTTTCTCAAAATGACTGCTTGTATTTTTACTGATCTCAAGTGGTACTATATTTCTCAAAATTTGTATCAAATTTAAAAAAATATTTATTTTTATTGGAAAGTCAGATATATAGAGAAGAGCAGAGACAGGAAAAGCTTTCGTCCGATGTTTCACTCCCCAAGTGGCCACAATGGCTGGAGCTGAGCTGATCCGAAGCCAGGAGCCAGGAACCTCTTCTGGGTTTCCCGTGCGGATTCAGGATCTCAAGATTTTGGGCCGTCTTCTACTGCTTTCCCAGGCCACAAGCAGGGAGCTGGATGGGAGGTGGGGCTGCCGAGGTTAGAACCAGTGTTCATATGGGATCCTGGCATGTTCAAGGCGAGGACTTTAGCTTCTAGGTTACTGTGCTGGGCTCTAGTATCAAATTTTAATTCATTTGTTTTGGAGGTAGATGTTTAGTGGAATAAATTAAATCATTGCTGTTTGATATCATAAAGAATTAGAAGCTGCTGATACACATTGTTCTCTGAAACATGCATTTAGTTATATAGTAGCAATGGGACCAACTATTAAGGTGCATTCTAGAAGTTGTAGGCAGTTCAGAAAGGTACATAGTGGAGCTGTGTTTCCTAACAGTGATCTGACTAGCTGGAGGCAGAACCTTTTATAAATAAGCCTGCCTGTCTTTTAAGTTAAAGACTTATCATTGCTTCAATCACTGCTTACTAGCTATTTCTCATGTGTTAGGTGTTTTGATATTTGAAAAATTTTGCTGTCAACTTGAGCCGTTGGAATGTAGAATGCAAGCAGAGGGATATGCCTATTGATAACTTTAAATACAATGTAAAAAATAAGGAATGCGACCAGGAATTTTTCTCTTTTAAGTAGGTAGCATTTTTTAAAAAACCTGTTTTTTTGAAAGACAGTTATATAGAGAGAAGGAAAGACACCCCAGAGGGCCACAACAGCCAAGGCTGGGCCATTCTGGAGCCTGTGGTCAGGAGCCAGGGCGTCTGAGGAGTCTGCCACATGGGTCCTGGGTCTCTTATGGGAAGTTGGCACCACAGGTGGAGGCTTAACCTACCACGTTTGTATGTTTTCTTTTCTTTTTTTTGATAGACTGAGAAAAAGATTTAAGAGAGATCTTCCATTGTGCTGATTCACACCACTCTAGCACAACTACCCCCAAATGCCTGCTGCAACAGGCAGAGCTGAGGCAGGTTCAAGCAGGAGCCCAGGACTGTATCCAAGTCTCCCATGGGACGGGCAGGGACCCAAGCACTTTGGCCATCATTCACTGCCTTCCAGAGTGCATGTTAGCAGGAAGCTGAATCAGAAACAGAGTAGAAGAAAATTTTTGGGCGGGGGTGTTGTGCTTGACTCGACAGGCTAATCCTCTGCCTGCAAATAAAAGCAAGCACCCCAAATGGGTACTGGCTTGTGTCCTGGCTGTTGCACTTGCCGTCTAGCTCCCCCTAGTGGCAGCAGAGGATGATGCAAGTCCTTGGGATCCTGCACCCACGTGGGAGACCTGGAGGAAGCTCCTGGCTCCTGCCTCCTGACTTTGGATCAGCTCAGCTCCAGCCATTACTTGGGGAGTAAACCAAGAGAAATAAATAAATCTTGTAAAAAAAGGAAAAAATTTAAAAATGTTTAATTTTACTTTTAATATTAAGAGCTGCATGCTCATCATGGCGACCTCCAGGTTTGGTGGGGAGGGTCAAGGTGTGGGACAAATGTTTTCATTCTTTTTTTCCTCCTGGGTCTGCAGGGACAGAAAGAGAAGAGGCTACTCTCTTTGCTTTCAAGCTGTGTTAGCACCCGGGGACAGGGGATAGTCATTTGATGAAGCCCAGTGTTCTGAGAGTGTTATTTTAGTGATTTTGATAGTTCTGAAACATCATTAGCTTTGCCCAAATGTGTAGATGAAATTTGAAATTTGAAACAGGCACTTGGCTTCTGGAAAATGAGCATTTCAAGCAGCAGCTTATCCATCCCCACACCATGAAGGGTTTCTCATGTATATAATGAGCAGGGATTTTCAAATTATTTTATTTTTCATGATACCGTTGCATAGGCTCAGGAAATGATTCTTTTTAAAAAAGATCTGTGTATTTATTCTAAAGGCAAATTTACAGAGAAACTGAGAGGGAGAAATAGAGATCTTCCATCTGCTGGTTCATTCCCCTAAACGGCCACAACAGCTAGAGCTGGGCTGCTCCAAACCAGGAGCTTATTTCTGGTTTCCCACATGATGACAGGGGCCCCATGGACTTGGGCCATCTACTACTGTTTTGCCCAGCATGTTAGCTGGGAGCCGGCTTGAAAATGAAATTATGAGACTTGAACCAGTGCCTTTATGGGATGCCAACACTGGCACTGTTTTATAGGATTTTTTAATGGGAAGGTTGTAGTAAATTTTCTCCTGGAAGGATAAGCATTTGCATCTGGGACGTGTAAGCTTTTGAACAAGATCATGAAGAGTGGGTGGGATTTGTTCAAGTGGCAGTGTTTATATAGGATTTAATTCAATAGAATTACAAGAAACAAACTATTTGCTTGTGGAAGTGTTACATGCTTTTTAGCTAATAGTTGGCATGTGAGGTGGAGAATATACTGATAGGTTGAGACGAGGGTGTTAGATTTGTTCATCAGAAGAGTTTATAAACGGAGGGTGAGTAGAATTTTTACATTATGTGAGTAGAGCTTTCTTTTAGGACCATTAAACTGAAAAGCAGATGTACATTTAGGAGACTGAAGCTCAGAGTGTATTCAGGAGGGTGGTGAGGGTGCCAAGTCAGGGGCAATGAGAGCTGCATGGCTGTGACTTCACTGGGGAGGACGGGGGAGGACGGGCACTGGTGTGCCTGGCTTTTTAAGCATCGGCCTCCTTGAGTGTCTGGTTGCCTGTGGGTATCTAGTATTAATAAGGCCAAGATTCCAGAGTCTAACACTTTATATTCCAATTGTGATTGGCTCACTTGCTTACGATAGATGAGGATGGATTTCTGTGCTTTGAGGTTGATGACTCTGATTCTCCAGGGCTGTGGCAGAGACTCCGAGGAGCAGCATGCCTTGAAGCACTACCTGACACCACGATCTGAACCACACTGTCTGGTTCTCAGTTTGGTTAACTGGAGTGTATGGTGAGTTTTACTTCCTGTGCCCATTATGCGGAAAAGTGCTTGAAAGGTCAGAAGATGGGCCCGGCGGCGTGGCCTAGCGGCTAAAGTCCTTGCCTTGCACATGCCGGGATTCCATATTGGTGCCAGTTCTAATCCTGGCAGCCCCGCTTCCCATCCAGCTCCCTGCCTGTGGCCTGGGAAAGCAGTCGAGGACGGCCCAAAGCCTTGGCACCCTGCACCCCCGTGGGAGATTGAGAAGAAGCTCCAGGCTTCTGGCTTTGTATTGGCGCAGCTGTGTCATGGGCACTTGGGGAGTGAATCATCGGATGGAAGATCTTCCTCTCTGTCTCTCTTCCTCTCTATATATGACTTTCCAGTAAAAATATATCTTTAAAAAAAATAAGAAATGTTAAAAGCTGAGAGTTTTCAAAAATATTTAAGAAGAAACAAAGTTTAAAAATTTTAAAATACTTAATGAAACACCATCATTTTCAAAAACCCAGACATTGCCATTTTAAAAAATTTTCTCACTAATTATAGAAAAATTGCTTGCTGTAGACAACTTAGGAATCTATCTTTTTGTTTTTCTTGCTATGATGTTATAAAAAAAAAGTGGTGTGTTATTTTAGTTTAAAGATTGGGATGAAGGTGGGCTGTTGTGATGGCTCACTGGCTAACCCTCCACCTGGAAGTGTCAGCATTTCGTATGGGTCGGTCATGTCACACCTGCTCCACTTCCTGTCCAGCTCTCTGCTTATGTCTGGGAAAGCAGTGGAGGAAGGCCCAAGTCCTTGAGCCCTGCATCCATATGGGAGACCTGGAAGAGGCTGCTGCGTCCTACCTAACGGCCATTTGCGGAGTAAAACAGTGGATGGAAGATCCCTCTCTATTCTTCTCTTTGTAAATTTGCCTTTCCAATAAAAATAAATTCTAAAAAAAAAAAGAAAGAAAGAAAGAAGTGGAATACGGGGCGTGCGTTGTACAGAGTGTAATGCCACCCCCTATAACGCTGGTGTCCTCATGGGTGCCCTTTGGAGTCCCGGCTGCTCCACTTCTCACCCACAGCCCTGCCCATGGCCACTGGAAAGCTGCAGAGCAAAGCTCCTGCCGCTCACACGGGAGCCCAGCTGAGGCTTCTGGCTCTGTCCTTCGGCCTGACTCAGCCCTGGCCACTGGGGCCCTCTGGGATATAGACCCGTGGATAGAAGAGCTTTTTCTGTTTGTAACCCTGTCAAATAAGTAAATAAATCTTAAAAAGAATTGAGGCACTAGGAATAAATTTCAGATAAATAAATATTATAAAATTTTGGCAGTGAATTTGTGAGAAAATAAGAAGTCAGTCTGATAGGTTGTTTTACTATATTTTAATGTCATCTAATTCTCATGACAATATAATCTTTTTCAGTGTTCAGTGAGCAACACCTGTCAATTGTAAAATTTTAAATTTTGTTGGTATCTTTGTATTTTGAAATATGTGTGACAAAGGCTTTTGACTTTCATATCGGAACCAATCAAGTAAAATGTTTGGAGTTTTTGCAGTATTTATACGTAGTCATACACAAAAATTAGTTACTCCTCACTAGGGTATTGAAGATTTCTCTGCACACCCTTCCTAAAACTGTTCTGCACCTCAGCTGTTGACATATACCTTGTTAGAGTTATAAGCCAGTTTAGACTATGCTGAAATCTGCCAAGTTCAGCAAAATTATGCTTCAACACTATAAACTGCTAAATACTAAAATGAAAATAGACACGAGACAGCTGAATAGTACCCTATAGCCACTTTAAGGTGTATAGAAACCAGTTGTATATAACTAAAATTGAAATGTCAATGAAGTAGTCACAGGATGTGGTTAAGAACTTGCATTTTTTAACATATTGGTTTACTCAATACCATGTCAAAAAATTCCATAATGTTGTAAATTGTTGTTGGTGTTGGGGCCCTCAATTGATCGGGATGATATTCTGCCAGCTCTACCTTCAGACCAGAGATGGTCTCCCCAAGAAACTGTTGAATTTATCTGGACAATAAGATGCTGGGCTCTAGTCTTGGTATATGCATTCAAAGAAAGAATCTTGACTTAATTTGAACTATAATAACTGCAACAAGGTGGGGGAATCCACCATGGGGAGAGGGAGCAGGGAAGGGTTGGGGGAATCCCAGAGCCTGTGAAACTGTCTCACATAATGCAATGAAATTAATAAATTAAAAAAAGAAATATATATATGTATATGTAGTCATAATTCTGGCTAAGTTTATTTCAGAGTGAATATTAATAATAGTCATTAAGAAACTAGAATTTCATTTGTAGTTTTTCTGTTGGAATATTGTTATTCACATACTTTAGGCTCCAGGTATTATAATTTGCTTACTTTAAAAAAAGGTTGTATGTTTATCACCTTTCTCTGTTACCCTTCTGGCTCATAGGTGTTACATTTGTGATGAAGAAGTCCAGTACTGTAGCTCCAACCGATTGGGCCAAGCAGTTGATTATGTTAGGAAACAGGCTGGTAATCCAGCTCCAAAACCAGGTAAAACAGACTTTCTTTCTCGATCTGTACTATAGTGTTGATTGTGTATCTGCCGATACTAATATCTGTTGTACTACTTGGAATTACGTGCAGCTAAATGACATTATTTATGATTGCTCCCAAATTGTGAAGCTACATTTGACTCAGAATATGAAGCAGTAAGATGTGTTCGGTTGTAAGGAAGCCGTCTAACAGGTGGTGGAGGGTCTGTGCTGAGGCCAGGGGGAGTCGGGGTATTGTCACTGTGATGCATTTTGCCTTGGAAGGATTGGAGGCTGGCTGCTGGGATGCTGTCATTCCTGCGGGTGGTTAGATACGTCTCAGCTCTTTGCAAGCGTAATTAAGCTACTTGGGTTAACCTACAGTATTTGCTTTCAGGTAATCTTTAGATTTTTACCTTCACAAGTGTGTTTGCCAGAGCCGGAGTTATTTGCTGTTTATTTACAAATGGTTTTTTGATGAACAGAATCCATTGAAAAATTTATTTCACATTCATGTTTTTATGTTTTTGTTTCATACTTTTGTTTCATAATGATAAGCTCACTTGTGCAGAATTTCTGTGCAGTAAAAAAGGGAAGAATTTTTTTTTTAAAGACTTATTGTTATTGGTAAGTCAGATATGCAGAGAAGAAGAGAGAGGAAGGTCTTCTGTCCATTGATTCACTCCCCAAGTGCCCATGATAGCTGGAGCTGCACGGATCCAAAGCCAGGAGCCTCTTCTGGGTCTCCCACGTGGGTGCAGGGTGCCAAGGCTTTGGGTCGTTCTCCACTGCTTTTCCAGGCCACAAGCAGGGAGCTGGATGGGAAGCGGGGCTGCCAGGATTAGAACTGGCACCCATATGGGATCCCGGCACATGCAAGGTGAGGACTTTGACCTCTATGCTACTGCACTGGACTCAAACAGAATTGTATCAAAGGTTTATTCTTTGATTAGTTTGAGAAAATAATACTAATCAGTTCTGAAAATTGTTGATTTATTGGTTCTTGTTATAATTTGCATTTATTTGTTGATAGCATTTACACTCAAACTCGTGTTAAATGATGTTAGATGAAAAATCACATATACGAGTATTATGCCTAGAATATAACTTTACTCGTTTTGCTGTGTTTGTAAATTTTACTTCATCTTTTTTTCTTGAAGCAGAGCAAGATAATGGTAACATTGAAGTTGAAAATAAGAAATTAGAAAAAGAGAGTAAAAATGAACAAGAAAGAGAAAGAACAGAAAACCTCCCGAAAGAAAAGGCTTCCATGAATTCAGCTTCACAAATCTCTGTGAAAGGACTCAGTAATTTGGGAAACACCTGTTTCTTCAATGCAGTTATGCAGGTGCCAATGTCAGTTTTCTCACTTTGTGCTGAAGACCTGCTTCTTAAGCAGCTGTTCTCTGCTCCCTTCCTTCTCCCCTGCCCCACGCCCAGCCGATGTATTTGCGTGTATTCAAAGAAGAATCAAGGAAATGCTTATTGCATGTCAGGAAGACAGTGCAGCCAGCCTGGGTGCAGTGGGTCTTCCAGCAGTCCCGTGGGCCTTGCCCAGGGTGGAGCAAAGCACAGGACAAGGTCAACATAGACACGTTAGTTACGAGGGAGTGAGTGCTGGTGACAGAGCTGAGGGCTCGGACGGGGACTTCTCTGGGTGCTGGGTGAAGCGAGGAATAAGCTCAGGACTTAGGTTTATAAAGACCATGTGATTCTGTGCTTTGATAGAATAGAATCTAAAGAAATTAGAATGAATTAATAGGCCATTAAAGAGCTTTACTTTTCCTTTCCATACTATATTCCAGAATTTATCACAAACACCAGTGCTTCGAGAACTACTGAAAGAAGTGAAGATGTCTGGAACAGTTGTAAAAATTGAACCACCTGATTTCGCACTAACAGTATGTAGCTACATTTTTTCTTTTATAATAGGGAGCTATAGGGTGTTGACATTCATTTCTGTCTTTTTTATGTTTTTGTTTTGCTTGTTTTTATTTTAGCTACCAAGTTAGGTCTTAGGCTAACAGAAATTAGAAGGAACCATTCATGGCCACTTAGGTTGCCCTGTTTTTCTGTAAGATAGCATTTGATTTTCTTCTTGGGGAAATTGTTGATGTTTGTGACCTGGTCTTAGGTTTGCTTTATTAATTTTACTGTCTGTCCTTAACAAAGGGCTTATTTGTTTATTTGAAGGGCAGAGCAACTGGCAAAGAGCTTCCCTGCAGTGGTTCCCTCCTAAAATGGCCCACATGATTAAAGTAGTCAGGTCTGCGGGAGAAGCCCGGAACCTGGAACACCATGTGGGTCTCCCGAACGGGTGGCAGGGGCCCATGCACTTGTGCTGTCCCATTGCTGCCCCGGGCAGGGCAGCAAGGAGCTGGATTGGAAGTGGAGCACTCAGGATTCACTGGTGTTCCTATGGGATGCTGGCTAAATCCACTGTGTCCTGTTTCTGATATTTCATAAAGTGATGTCACTACATAGACAAGTAAATTTTACTTTGGCCATTTTTCTTATTTGCACTGGTTTATTTGTTCTTGTTTATGAACTTTATTGGTTTCTGATACGTAAAACTGCCAGATGAGGAAGTAAGTTATTCAGTAGGCAGTCTGTGAACAGAGATCTCTGTGTCTTCATTCTGGCCTTCTCAAAGGGAAACTTACCAGGAAAATTGGCAACACATGTTAAATAGTCACAGTTTGGTAAAGTAAATGATTCCGAAATCTGACTGAAGAAAGTAATTTTTATCCTTATATTCCGAAATCTGACTGAAGAAAGTAATTTTTATCCTTATATTCAGGAACCCTTAGAAATAAACCTTGAACCGCCAGGCCCTCTTACTCTAGCCCTGAGCCAGTTTCTTAATGAGATGCAAGAGACCAAAAAGGGAATTGTGACACCTAAAGAACTCTTTTCCCAGGTCTGTAAAAAGTAAGTATCCATTTTGGTTGTGTTTCTTGTGCATCATAAAATGCTGAGGAATAATATATAAAAGCCAATTGTATTAAAACTACCGTAGTTTGTGTGTATGTACTGTTTATGTATATAATGGTATTTAATATAATAGTGGATAAGATAATAGCATTTTACCTGACTAAACCAATTTTGACACTAGAGCCCTTTCATTGAAACAGACTCATTGTTGCTTTTCTTCCTTTGTTTTTCTGTAGAGCAGTGCGGTTTAAAGGCTATCAGCAGCAAGACAGCCAGGAGCTGCTTCGCTATTTATTGGATGGGATGAGAGCAGAAGAATACCAAGTTAGCACATTCTGACCATATTTTGTAAACTCATCTTCGTGAGCGTGGTTGTCATGTATTCTCTAAAGGCTGTTAACAACTGAAGGCTAGTTATTGAGGGCATTGTGCTTTACAGGTTTTTTTTCTACACCATCTTCAGTATGTAAGAGAATTTGAAGTGATTCTGTTTATACCTCGTGCTTTTGGTTACTTGGTGGTTAGAGCAGTATTATTATTATTTTAGATTTATCTTTTTTATATTGAAGGCAGATGGATGCAGAGAGAGGGCAATACAGAAAGAGGAAGAACTCTTTCATCGCCTAGTTCACAGCCCACATGAGCACACTGGCTTTGGCTGGACCAGGCAAAAACTAGGAGCCAAGAATTCCATCTGCATCTCCCATGGGGGAGGCAGGGCCCAAGTGCATGGGCCTTCTGCTGCTGCTTTCCCATGTACAGTAACAGGAAGCTGGGGTGGAAGTAGAGCAGCCAGGACCTGAACCTGCAGTCCAGTATGTAATTTTGTGTTCCTGGTGGTAGCTGAACTTGCTGCACCGTGGCAGCCCCAGCAGATTGTTCCTCAATAGATTTGATTGTATTAGACTCTGCCAGGAAAACTGCAAAATATTGGAAAATATTTGTGCCCAAACAATTCTTGGTTGTAGGGTGCCGTTAGTTTGAATATGATGTGGCAGTTATTCATTTTGCTAGAATCAGGAAACATCATGACATAAAATTTGTGTTGATTTTTAGGATATAAAATAATGTATTTGGGTATGTCAAAATAATTAATTATAGTGGCAGTGATAACAATTAATATTTATTTTTCTATATTTTGCTCTGTGTTATGAATTATCTTTATTTAGTTTTCATGTTCTAAAGGTAGATGCTATTATTGTTTTTTTCATAGCAAAGACTGAAGTTCTAGATAGAGAAGTTCAGGTTCAGATTCACCCTGCTTTGAGTTTTGGAATCTGTTGTTGTAACATTGTTAACCCCTCTACTTCTAGGGCAAGACATTTCAGTGGATTCTGAAAGAGTTATATTCTGAAAAGCTAGGCTTAAGATTTTGGAATGATGAGAAAGTACATTTATTTAGGAATTAGTGATTGCTTTATAGATAGATGTAATTCTTTTTAGCTCTTTGAATTAATTTTGAAAATGTGATTTTAGAAATATTAATTTTTACCTCAGTCAGTCTGGAGAGCTACATCCTGATCGCTTCCTGACTTGATTACCTATTTTCTAGGGAAAATAACGTAAAATTTAAGTTTAATAGTATATATATATCCATTTTATTACTTTTAGAGAGTGAGTAAAGGAATTCTTAAAGCATTTGGTAATTCTACTGAAAAATTGGATGAAGAACTAAAAAATAAAGTTAAAGGTAATGTCTGACTTTTTGAACTAAACCATTATAGTAGAATCCCTCTATACCTTAGGACAAAATTGCTGGCTTGTATATTTCACATCCACAATTATTAACATTTCTATATACTCATTGATCTTGGAAAAATAAATTCAGGACTCCTAAAAATATGTTAGAAAAATTTTAACTTGTTTGTTCTTACTCCTTTTACAATGGAAATTTTAAAGAGCTAAGATTACACCATAGTTTTCTGAAAGCTTTGAAGTTGTCATTAGCAGTGATCTCTGAATCACGCTGTTCACCGTGGGGTGTCAGTTTCTGGTTCACTGATGATGGAGCCAACGCAGGGTTATTTTCTGTGGCCCGTGAGGACTGAGGGCGGATCTGTGCAGCAGGACTCCACCTGTGATGGTGGGACTCTACCTCATTTACAGTGTGCTGGAGGCTGCTATCTGTATGGGCTGCTAGGCTGGCAAGACCAAAAAAGCACATTTTTCTTTTTATAAAATTTTGGCTGAAGTGGCTGAAAGTTACTGTATTACAAGGCACAGGTGGACCAAACTCTTAGTCGCTCTGTCCCCTTGGGCCTTGGAGAACCTCACGGGGAGCAGCATCCTGCCTTCTGGCACTGTCCTAAGGTGTCCACGTCGGTGCATACCTATCATTAGAATAATACTTATACACATTGTATGCGTTTGAAAAATTAGGGGAGCAGGAAATAAAATTTTGTCACCTTATGTTAAACATAGCAAGATTATTTCTGCAAACATTGGAAAATAAAAGCGGGATTTGTCTGAAGTGGTTTACTACATGAATGGCATGGTGTTCTGGCTGAAAGCAGGAATGCAGGATTCTGTCCTGGTCACTCTCAGCTGGCGGGGTCCAAGCGCTGGGAGCATTTCCTGCTGCCGCCTTTTTAGGGGTATTATCAAGGGGCTGCATTCAAAGCAGAGCACACAGGCCATTCAATATGGGACGCCAGTGTCCTGAGTGGTACCTTAGTGCATTGCATTCCAAATGCTTGCCCCTGAAAAATGCTGTAATTAGTTAATTAATTAAAACTACAACAGGAGGTCAGCTTCCGATAAAAATCAAAGTCGGAAGATACTTTTCTTCAAGCTTGACACTATGGTGTTTTATCAATACTGAATGTTAGAATGTTAGAGCTAAACCATTCATCCTAGTTCAGTGTGCTCAGTTTACTAATGGAGCTTTTGGTCTTTCGGAAATACCTCTGACCTGTACAGTTTCACAGTAACTAGATCTTGGATGAGACCTAGTTTTCTTATTCATGAAAGGTAATCATGTTAAATTTGTAATGCTCAGAGGTTGGATCTGTGCTCTCAGCTGCTGTACCATAAAAATAAAATTAGGTAATTACAGTTATAAAAGTCTGTGGGGCAGGAAATTAAAAATAATTTTAGGATTAGATAGGTAAGTAAGGGCTTTTAACTCAGTTAATCCTATAAAGTCAGTTGATAAACATTTTGTTCTTTATAGATTATGAAAAGAAAAAATCAGCACCAAGTTTTGTGGATCGCATCTTTGGTGGTGAACTAACTAGTACAATCATGTGTGATGAATGCAGAACTGTAAGTACATGCGTGGGCTGCATTTAATATTCATGGAGTATGGCTTATCGGTTTCTTTAAAAACAGGCCGGGGAGTGAATGGCAGGGGCTGGCACTGTGGATCAAGCCACTACCTGCAATCCCAGCATCCCTCATGAGCTCTGGTTTGAATCCCAGCTGCTGTCCACCCCATCCTGCTCCCAGCTCATGTGCTTGGGATGGCAGAAGATGGCTCAAGTGCTTAGGACACACCACCCACCTGGGAGATCCGGAAGAAGTTCCAGGCTCCTGGCTTTGACCGCATCCTGTCTCGGCCATTGTGTATGGCAGCCATGTGCAGAGTGTATCAGGACAGCAGAATCTCCCCCCTCTCTCTGTTCCTCTGTTCATATAACTCTGCCTTTCAAATAAATACATATAAAACCCCAGTAAGATCTTACATTCATGGATATTGTTCGTTGAATTATCCAAATGTGTCATATTCTTTGCTGCTGGAAATATCAGTATTCCTCTTAAATCCCCCCCCCCCAATATATTTATATGTTTGAGAGAGAGAGGATGCGCTTCCATGAGAGAGAGAGGAGGGAAGGAGAGCTTTACTCCAGAGCATAGTATCACTTAGAGTTGAACCTAGGCTGAAGCTGGGAGCTGGAATTTGAATCCAAATCTCCTCGTGGGTGGCAAGACCTCATTGAGCCATCATTACCCGCTCCCAGGGTCTACTTTGGATCCACCTAGGTGTTGAACCTGTGTACTCCGGTGTGGAGTAGGCTGAACACCCATCACTCCTTACAGCTTCAAGAAGTCAAACATTTTGATGTGCTTTTTTCTAAAACAGAGTTCTCCACATTGTGTATTTTTCATTTCAAATTTTCTTAAGCCTTTGTTTATTTTAACCCACCCCTTCCTCATCCCGCACCTCAGGGAAGGGGATTACTATTTTGTAATTAGAATTTATAGTGACTGCTTTCTTTTTACATTTTCTTTTTTTGCTCTGTTTGATTAAGGTCTCCTTGGTTCATGAATCTTTCCTTGATTTGTCTCTCCCAGTTTTAGATGACCAGGTAAGATTATTGAATTGATTGTATTAGACCCTTATTTGTTCCTTCTTAGATGCAAGGGAAACTTTTTCAGTTGTACACTACTAGCCCATGGAGAAGTTATTCTTGTGTTGGTTGAGATAAAATAATTTTTATGATTTAAATGAGGAATGAGGGACTTCTTTCAAAAAAAAAAATAAACATGATGATATGTATAGAGCTTTATAGGTAATTGATTGTATGAAAATATTTTCATGTTGATTACTATTGCCATTATTTAAGATTGATGACAAATCTTTGCTTTCTCACTTTAAATGGAGAATAGTATCTTTGTAAGCCATATTAATGTAATTCTTTGTAAATATTAGGAAAAAATTGAACAAATTTATGAATACTAGATAAATCATTATTCAACTTCACACAAATTAGAATCCCTTAGCTTGTTACATAGTATTGGGAGTCTTGCCAAACTTATTTTATTTTCTCTTTCTTTGAAACTACCATTTATATGCAAAGGAAGAAAAGAATAAGAGGTGATACCTATGGTATGATATCAGAAGTCGCTTGTAAACACAAGATGCATTCAGAAATGGACTATTTACAGCATTTATCTAATAGAATTCATTACATTCCTTCTATTACCCTTGCATTTGAAGTTATCTTTTTTCTTTTCATATGTGAAATCTTTCTAATATATGAGATGAATGAATTTTGTTCTTGATATATTTTAAAATTAATGGAAAATAATAACAAAATAGGAGTAGAAAAAATTTTTAGGTACATGAATTTTCCTAATTTAAAAAAAAATTTTAATTCATTTTAATTTGCAAACAGAATGGAGTCAGAGAGCGATCTTCCTTCTACTGATTCCCTTCCCAAATGGCCACAACAGTTGTAGCTGGGCTGGGCCGAAGTGAGGACCCAGGAGCTTGTTCTGGGTCTTTCACGTGGGTGCAAAGGCCCAGGTCCTCAGGCTGTCGCTTCTTACTTTCCCAGGTGTGTTACCACAAGCTGAATCATAAGTGAAACAGCCAGGACTCAAACCAGTACCACTGTAACCTATTACACAATGATGCTGGTCCCAACTTTTAAATTTCTTAAAAAATTTTAAAACTTTTATTTAATTGAAAGCTAGAATGAGAAAGAGGGACAGGCAGAGCAGGAAAAAAAATTCTTCCATTCTACTAGTTCATTTCCCAAATGCCTACAAGGGCTGGGTCTAGGACACAGTAAAACCAGTAGCCCAGAGCTCTGTCCAGATCTCCCAAGTGACTGGCAGGAACCCAGACACATGGAGTATCTTCTACGCCCTTCTCAGGCACATTAGGTGAGAATTAAATTTGCAACTGAGCAGCCAGGACTCAGCCTAGTGCTGTATTATGCAATGCCAGTACTAAGTCAAGTTAAGCTACATCAGGTAGTAGCTTAACTTGCTATGCCACAACTTTGACCAAAAACATGTCAGAATGTGTTTACAGATGCTTTAGAAGTGAGAAATGCTAGAGGTGTTGGAAATCCAGAGTGGTTCTTGTAGGCTAGTGTGAGTGTGTCAGCAAGCTGTGATCCTTCTGGAGTCTCTGAGGGAGAGTCGGCTGCTTCCGAGTCAGCATCTAGGAGGCACCTCATTCCTGCTCTTTCATCCTAACTTCACCTATTAACCATGACTTTTCTTTCAAACAACTGGTAGTTATAATATTTTGCAAATTCTTCTTTTTTCAAAGTTTCTGACTCATATTGTCTCCATATTTAAGAGTGGTAAGAAAAGTGTAAATGATAAAAATCTGAAGAAAACAATGGAAGATGAAGATAAAGACAGTGAGGAAGAAAAAGATAATGACAGTTACATAAAAGAGAGAAATGATATTCCTTCAGGAACAAGTAAACACTTGCAGAAAAAGGCCAAGAAGCAAGCCAAAAAGCAAGCCAAGGTGGGCAATTACGACTAAAATCATCTTTTTCTAAATTTAATTTGTTGGTTTTTTTTTAAGAGAGTATATTTATTTACTTGAAAGTAGCTGGCCAGCTGACACCAGGAGCTTAATCCAGGTCTTCATGAGATAGCAGATGTGCCAGCACCTCTTCCCAGGCCATTTGCATGAAGCTGGATCGGGCCCCACCGGGCACCCATAGGCAATGCCAGTGTCACAGGAACAACTGAGTTCTGTAAAACCACATTCTGAACTATTGAGCTTGTAGTGTGATATTGGTAATCATGCCTGATGTTTTCACTTGGGAATTACAGAATTCATGATGACTGTTTGCACAGAAGTTGCTTTGGATGTATGTGAGAAAAGATTGTACCTTTTTTTTTCTTTGTCATAGTTTCTAATATTTTATAGCTGTATTTTTATGTCTTTATTTTGCATAGAACCAACGAAGACAACAGAAAATTCAAGGAAAGGTTCTTCATTTAAATGATATCTATGCTATTGACCATTCTGAAGATAATGAGTGTGAGGCTGACATGTCACCCCAGGGAGACGTGGATGTGAAGTCCGACCATAGTTCACAAGAGGAAGTTACACCGGAGGAGTCTGGTGGTCATCAGAAGGATGTGAATGACCGAGAAGAAATAATAGAGTGTGTCACTGATAGTCAAGACGCCGCTGAGGAAGTAGATAAGCAAAATGTGAACATGAATAATGATCTGGAAGTTTTGGCATGTTCCCCCACTGAATGTAGTGGAAATGTCAATGGTGCGCAGCCGCAAGACGAAAGCAATGGAGAAGTAGACATTTCCAATGAGTTCAAAAACCTTAACTTGAATGTGACCGTTGAACCTGATGAAATAAATATAGAGATTGTGAATGACAGCCATACATCTGAGACAAAGGTATATGAGGTTGTAAATGAAGATCCAGAAACTGCTTTCTGCACTCTCGCAAACAGGGAAGCTTTCAGTGCCGACGAGTGTTCCATCCAGCATTGTTTGTATCAGTTTACACGCAATGAGAAGTTGCAAGATGCAAATAAACTGCTTTGTGAAGTGTGCACACGGAGACAGTATAATGGACCAAAGGCAAATATAAAAGGTATTTAGATTCTGTCACTGTAAATAAAGTTGATATTCAGGGGCACATTTTGCAATATATGGAGTACTCCTTTCATAACTGTATCAGGATTTAGGGGGCATTAGTGAAGGTCATCACTTTTATAAAGACTTTTTTTTTTTTTAAGATTTATTTGTTTTTATTACAAAGTCAGATATACAGAGAGGAGGAGAAAGAGAGAGGAAGATCTTCCATCCGATGATTCACTCCCCAAGTGAGCGCAACGGCCGGTACTGCGCCGATCCGAAGCCGGGAACCAGGAACCTCTTCCAGATTTCCCGCATGGGTGCAGGGTCCCAAAGCATTGGGCCATCTTCAACTGCTTTCCCAGGCCACAGGCAGGGAGCTGGATGGGAAGTGGAGCAGCCAGGATTAGAACCGGCGCCCATATGGGATCCTGGGCGCGTTCAAGGCGAGGATTTTAGCCAGTAGGCCATGCCGCCGGGCCCTAAAGATTGTAAAAATTATTTTAAAGATCTTATTTTTTTGGAAGGCAAAGAGACAAAGAGAAGGGGAGATTGTTCATCTGCTGACTTATTCCCCTAATGGCTATACCATCTGAGGCTATTATTTTAAAGATCTTATTTTTTTGGAAGGCAAAGAGACAAAGAGAAGGGGAGATTGTTCATCTGCTGACTTATTCCCCTAATGGCTATACCATCTGAGGTTAGGCCAGGCTGAGCCAGGAGCCAGGAATGCCATCTTCCAGGTCTCCACCATGAGTGACAAAGCACTTGGGAAGTCACCTGCGGCCCTCCTAAATCCATTAGCAGGAAGCTGGGTTGGAAGCCCAGGAGCTAGGACGAGCCAGTGCTCAAAGTGGGATGCTTACGTCCTGAGCAGAAGCTTACTTCACATTAAGTTCCCATGCAAATATCTGGTCATCAGGATGGAAACAGAACCTCACTGGAGTGGCTGATGCTCCAGCAGCAGTTAAAGGTGAATGGTTTGATTTCCAGCACCTGTCAATGTGTGGGTCGTCCCATTAGAATGCTCCCCCACCAGGGGCTGGCACTGCGACGTGGTGGGTAAAACTGCTGCCCACTATACCAGCATAACATTGGTGCTGGTTTTGAGTCCTGGCTGCTCCACTTTTGACCTGGCTCCCTGCTGATGTGCCTGGAGAATCAGCGAAGGATGACTCAAATCTTTGGACCCCCGCACCCATGTGGGAGGCCTGAAGAAGCTGCTGGCTCCTGGCTTCCAGCCAGTCCATTTCCAACCATTGTGGCTATTTTGGGGGTGAAACAGTGGCTAGAAGATCTCTGTCTCTCCCTCTATAATTCTGCCTTTCAAATAAATAATTAATAACTTATTTAAAGAAAGAATACTTTCCCAACGGCCTTTTACAGATAGTGCTGTTTCTTTGCATTCTCAGTTCCCTGCCAGCATTTGTGGTGGCTCTCATTTTCCTGTCACTCAAGAAGCCACGTTTTACGAGATCAGGATACTCACATGACATGCGTAGCTCCAGGTGCTGGCAGGACGAGAGCCTCGTTACAGTCTCCTTCCAGTTTGATATGCCTTTTTTTTTTTTTTTTTAAGATTTATTTTTATTATTTTTTCATTTGGAAAGGCGGATATACAGAGAGGAGAGACAGAGAGGAAGATCTTCCGTCTGATGATTCACTCCCCAAGTGAGCGCAACGGGTCGATACTATGCTGATCCGAAGCCAGGAGCCTCTTCCGGGTCTCCCACTCGGGTGCAGGTTTCCAAAGCTTTGGGCCGTCCTCGACTGCCTTCCCAGGCCACAGGCAGGGAGCTGGAAGGGAAGCGGGGCTGCAGGGATTAGAACCAGCGCCCATATGGGATCCCGGGCGTGCGAGGCGAGGACCTTTAACCACTTGCGCCACTGCTTCCGGGCCCCTCGATATGCCTTCTTCAACTTCGATACCTGCAGGCATATAAATGCTTGAAAAACAATCCGTGATTTTCCCTTATGCTCCAAAGTTGAAACTATTCAATACCTGCTTCTTTATAGAAAAAAGTTTGGTGAACCTTGCTTTACCTATTTGAAATTATTTCCCAGCAAATATTTATGCCTTTGGGGGATCTGATTTTCACATTGCTAAATATTCCCTCCTTTTTGCAGGTGAAAGGAAACACGTTTACACCAATGCTAAAAAGCAAATGCTGATTTCTCTTGCTCCTCCTGTTCTCACTCTTCATTTAAAGAGATTTCAGCAGGTACTCCTTGTCACTCCAAATGTTTAAATATTTAACCTACTGTATTATTGTTCAGGTGTATTACTGTAGTTGTTTCAGTTTTCTGTTATATTTTAATTCAAACTTTAAGGAAATGGAGCAATAAATCAGTGGGCAAGAAAGCTCAGATATCAAGGTATAGGGAGCGATACAGGCACATTCCTTCCTCCCGTTTGTTAGAAATGATACCGTTCTTAGTGTGTTAACTTCAACCAAAATTGCGTGTTGAACTACCCAGCTTTCCTGCCTGTGTTTCATATAGGAGCATGAGTGTTTTTCGTTTTTGTGTGTGGTAGCTTAATGGTACTGACCCTTGATAAGAGCACATTTGTGCCTTTTATTTTTATCTCTTTGGTGACTCCATCTTATCTGGAAGACTTTGCAGTAAGCCTCAGGACGTTCAGATTCTGGGCCATTTTAGACTATATTTCCAGGATCTTGGGAAAATTCTGCTTCTTATGCTTGTTACACAGGTGAAGCAGTTGAGTGGTTCGTTACTTAATGTGTTGTACTCGACTGGAAGGTAATACCGGCAATATGTGTTTCACAGAAAGAATTCTGCTATTTAGAAATTTTTCAGAGCCTTGCACTCTGGAATAATCAAATCTGGTTGGCTAAAACAGAAATATTATAAACTTTATTGTGGAAGTACCATCTATGCTTGTGGTATGTGTTTACTGAGCAAAAACTAACTTGGACTCACTCAGCAGCCCAGAACAATACCTTTCCCTAAGATTGAACTAGGACTGGATGTTGGTGGTAGTGCTTTGGGTATTGGCGGGAGCCTAGAGGTTTCATAGTATCTACAGCTTTTCTAGGAAAATAACTCAATTTGTTTTCCTTCTTTTAGGCTGGTTTTACTCTGCGCAAAGTTAACAAACACATAAAGTTTCCAGAAATCTTAGATTTGGCTCCTTTTTGTGCCCTTAAATGTAAGGTATGTGAAAGAAGTACTCTATCTTTTTTGTTTGTTAGGAAAATCCCATGAAGGGCAAATCATAGCTTGCCAAAGATTTGGGTCACTAACTCACATAAGTAGGTAAGAATTACTGAGTAGCGTGGGTCTTTGATGATAATATCTAATCTGTTTACATTGCCAGCTCCCAGCATAGCCCTATTTTGCACAGCCATGCCTTTCGTCCAGCGTTTTTGCCTGAAAAACTTGTTTCATCTTGATTTGTCACTTTTGCTCTATGAGAATTACATGGGACATGGTGTGTTTTAGTGTTCCCTGAACCACCAGTATGCTGGCTTACTTTATATCACCCTGGTTTGTGTATACCAGTCTCAACAGTCATATTAAACAGTTAAAAACTACAGGGTAGGGCCCCAGTGTGGTAAACCTAGTGGCTGAATCCTTGCTTTGCAAGCACCTGGATGCTATACGGGTGCTGGTTTGTGCTCGACTTCCCATCCAGCTCCCTGCTTGTGGCCTGGGAAGGCCATCAAGGACGCCCCACAGCCTTGGGACTCTGAACCCACATGGGAGACCTGTAAGAAGCTCCTGACTTCGGATTGGCTCAGCTTCAGCCTTGGCGGCCATGTGGGGAGTGAATCAGCGGACAGAAGATCTTTCTCTATGTATCTCCTCTCTGTAGATCTGCCTTGCAAGGAAATAAATCTTAAAAAACAAAAAAAGTTAAAGGAGCAGGGTTGGGAGGTAGAAAAGATGGTGAGTTCCCCTTTGGGATTCACTGAGCGTCAGGTACCTTTGAGATCCACCAGTCATAGCACCAGCCATGTTTTCTTTTTCCCGATATGATTTTTTTTTCAATATCATAGCTACACCACTGAAATCTACCATCTGCTGCTTCTCTCCCCAGGTGGTACCAAAACAGTAGTTTCTGGGTGTTCCACTCAGGTGGTGGGGCCCACGCCCAGGCTGTTAGTAGGGTAGCTGGATCATAATTGACAAGCACACAAATCGATGCCTCTCAAGTGGCACTGGCATGGCAGGTCGCAATTTCCTCACTGCACCACAATGCTGAGTCGGGGTTATTTCTGACAACCTAATATTGTCTGTTTCCACTTAAGGATTACACTTTGGGCATGTAATAGAATGATGTCCAGGGTTTGAAATGATCTCACAGCTCCCAGAGAAACCCTCCAGTTATCCAGACCGTGTAATCAGTTATAAGTGGCCTGGGGTTTATGGTTCTTCCACAGGAGAAGCTGGAATGACAAGAAACATCTCAGTAGGCAGAGAAGAGGGAGGGAGAACTAGTCGGGATTGGATTCATGAATAATTTTGATCTTCAGAAAGTAAAGGTTAAGAAGTACAGGCTTTTTTTTGCCAGTGACCTCTGTGAAACAGGAAGAGAACTAACTTCTAGATTTTATTTTTAAAGAATGTTGCTGAAGAAAATACAAGAGTACTGTATTCCTTGTATGGGATTGTTGAACACAGTGGTACAATGCGGTCAGGACATTACACCGCCTATGCCAAGGCAAGAACTGCCAGTACTCGCCTCTCTAATCTCGTTCTTCACGGTGATATTCTGCAAGGTAAGAGGTCCTGGAACATTTGGGATTTTAAACTGATAGCAGGACTAAAAAGAAATATCTATTTACATTTCATTTTCAATTTCCTCTTTGACAGGTTTAGAAATGGAATCAACCAAAGGGCAGTGGTTTCACATCAGTGATACACATGTGCAAGCTGTGCCTACCACTAAAGTCCTAAACTCACAAGCATACCTCCTATTTTATGAAAGAATATTATAAAACAAAACTGGTTTTTACAGTGGCTGTATAACAATAAAGAAGTAACGACTATAATAAATCATGTTTACTTAATATTAACTACATGACAGAAGAAATCATGTTTGAATATTGAAGGGAAAAATAACTACAAAGATCTACAGTGGTTTTGTATTGTCACAGTGGTTTTTATTCCTGCTTCTATTTCCTGAAAGGAAATTCTCAGTTACTTGAAATCTACGCTTAGCATGTCTGGGCAGTAGGTTGCAATGCATCAATAAACGGACTTACTCCACAATTTGTTTTATTATTTGTAAGATTTGAAGTTGCACTGACTTTTGTTTCAGACTTGCCAGTGAAACATACTATCTGTTTTATAACACAGGGGCTGGCAGCAGAATGTAACTGCATCCTTCTACTTACAGCGTGCCTGACCTGGGACGTAGCACCCACTGCGTACTTGCTCCTGTGCAAACTGTCAGCTGACTCAAAGCAGAAAACACACACAGAGCCAGGCTTCTGGGTCTATGATTGTTCCAAGGATTCCTTACTGCCAGCATCCCAGAGCCTAAGGCCTGTCTACTCACTCATCACATAGTATTTGTCTCAATCTTGAGTCTTCCTAAGATTTCTTGATGAGGACCCAGTGTGATGGCTCAGTGGCTAAAACCTTGCCCTGCACATGTCACTTCATGCCTGTCTGCTCCACTTCCTATCCACTGTATGTAGCCTGGGAAAGCATAGGGTGACCCTGCACCCAAGTGTGAGACCTAGAAGCTCCTGGCTCCAGACTTTGGATCAGCTCAGTTCCACCTATTGTGGCCACTAGAGAGTGAAACAGTGGACAGAAGATCTTTCTGTCTTCTCTCTGTAAACCTGGCTTTCTGAAAAAATGAATCAAACTTTTCTTAATGCACCTTTGGTGTAGCAGTAGTCAGAAAGAAAGACTCCATCACCCATATTATAAATTTCCTTTTACGGCCTGATGTGGTAGGCAAATGGCTAAGTCCTTGCCTTGCCAGCAGCAGCATCCCATCCAGGCACCGGTTTGTGTCCCAGCTGCTCCATTTTCCATCCAGCTTCCTGCTTGTGGCCTGGGAAAGCAGTCAGGGACAACCCAAAGCCTGGGGACCCTGCACGCTCATGGGAGACCGTTCCGGCCAGCAGAGCCAGTAATGTGGACACTGGGTTGGTCTAGGGGATGAGGCACCGATAGGAGACCAGTGATGGTGGAAGCCTCTCTGAAGTCTCTCATTTGCCCTTTCACCTCTACTTGTTTACTCTTTCCCCCGCACCCCCATTAGCGCATGTTGGATACAGCTGAGTCCAATTAAACCAGGTGCTTCTAGCCCCAAGCCCGCTCCCTCTAGTGCTCGGCTTAACGAGTGCTAGTGAACTCCTTAGCCCACAGCAGGAGACCCAGAAGAATCTCCAGGCTCCTGGCTTCAGATCGGCTCAGCTCTGGCCCTTGTAGCCACTTGGGGAGTCAATCAGCAGATGGAAGATCTTTCTGTATCTCCTCTCTGTAAATCTAACTTTTTGATAAAGATTTTTTTTTTAAGATTTTATTACAAAGTCAGATATACAGAGAGCAGAGAAAAGATGATCTTCCATCTGATGATTCACTCCCGAAGTGATGCCAACGGTCAGTGCTGTGCTGATCCAAAGCCAGGAACTTCCTCCAGGTCTCCCACACTGGTGCAGGATCCCAAAGCAATTGGGGATTGGGCCATCCTCAATTGCTTTCCCAGGCCACAGGCAGGGAGCTGGATGGGAAATGGAGCTGCGAGGATTAGAACCGGCGCCCATATAGGATCCCAGCAAGTTCAAGGCGAGGACTTTAGCTGCTAGGCCATGGTGCTGGGCCCAAAAATCTTTTTAAAATTCCTCTGAAGTAGGGCTCGGCGGTGTGGCCGCACCGGGATCCCCAAGCCAGAGCTCCCACCTGAATGGAAGGGACTCAAGCACTTAGCCCATCATTTGCTGTCTTCCTTCCAAAATGCACATTACCAGGAAGCTGAAATTAGAAGCAGGGCTGGAATTCAAAACCAGACATCCTGGTTCGGGCCTGGACTTTGAATGGCCAAGAACACTTTGTCTAGTCTCAGTTACAGTTTGGCTGAATTTCACTTTCCTTTTCACAGGTTAATGTTCAATTACATACTTTTTGCTGGAAAGACTACATTTTTAAAATTGGGAATTATATCGGACCGTTCTAAAAATGAATTGGTTAGGGCCCGGTAGCATGGCCTAGCGGCTAAAGTCCTCGCCTTGAACACTCCAGGATCCCATATGGGTGCCTGTTCTAATCCCAGCAGCGCCACTTCCCATCCAGCTCCCTGCTTGTGGCCTGGGAAAGCAGTCAAGGACAGCCCAAAGCCTTGGGACCCTGCACCTGCATGGGATACCCGGAAGAAGTTCCTGGATCCTGGCTTGGGATCGGCATAGCATCGGCCATTGCGCTCACTTGGGGAGTAAATCATCGGATGGAAGATCTTCCTCTGTCTCTCCTCCTCTCTGTATGTCTGACTTTGTAATGAAAATAAATAAATCTTACATAATTCAGGGACCTTGTGTTAGTAACAAATACAGTCCGCATGTCTACTGAATCATTGTCCTTTAGTTTTCAACAGACTGAGAGGATCTGTGTAACTCATTTGTGCATTTCTGGATATATTTGTGTTTTTCCATTTTTTTTGATGATTTTTACATAGATGATTAGGTTGCCAAGGGTCAAGGGCTAGAAGGGAGGAGATAAGGGGAGAAGCCACACCCAGCTTCCCAACCACCTCCATATCCTGGGATGGGGGACAGCCACCTGTTGTTATCCCAGGGTCTCTGAAGTGGGCCATGTTCCAAGCGTCCTGCTCAAGTGATTTTGATAATTCAACAGTTCTGAATTGCTGTCGATCCCTCCACTCCAATCACAGTGAAATCTCTCTAGACTCTAGTGGCTGATAGGCCACCTTGGATTCTGCATTTGTATAGCCAACACTTGGCTGGGGTAGTTGATCATTGTGTTTTGTCCTCTGCTGTGGTTCCAGGTGTCCTGTACAGGTTTTAATGTGCTGCCATATACTGTGTGCAACTGGCTGTGCTGCCCAGCTCTGACACATGCATTCCACAGGCAGACCATGGAACCTGCCGTTCTTTCCATGGATGGGGTTCATTCGGAGGGTGGCGGGCAGGAATTCCCAAAGAAACCTCATCTGAACTGATCCCAGACCTGATTCTTGTGTGTGCTAGCCAATACAAGGTCTGGCACAGTCCATCGCCCGTTACCTTATATATATGCTAGTGGTTGCAACTGCTGGTTCAGTTCTGTTTCTAGTCCTGTCTTTTACAGGAACCAATCGGTATTGCAGTCCAGCCCGATCCTGCCCACCACACACTTGGCCCTCATGCAAACCAGTGGGAGTTGTTGCATCCTAGTAAGAATGACCCCCCAATAATTCCTGCCAGGCCATCCCCTTGCCCTGGTTCCTGTACTTGCCAATATGTCCCAAATCCTATCTAGCTCCCATACATGTCAATGGGCACTGAAACCTAGTTCAACCCAGCCAGCCCCACTATCCAGTCCACACTAGTGCTGATGGGTTCCATCCTCTAGCCATGCCTGCTCCTAGTCCTGGTTCTCATGCTTACCAGTGGGAGTGGCAACCCAAGAGGTGCTCAGTTTCCCTTATGTGTTCACTCCCACTCCCAGATCTTGCCACCAGGTTTTTCTGCAATTCAGCTTAACAGAATTTGACCTCCATGCCAGCATCTGCCAGCTGATGCTGTGGCAAAGCCCAACCCACCCACACACACTCTGGTATATACATGTACCAGAAGGTACAGTTAGCTCAGCCTGGCTTTGCCCTGATCCAGCTCACATGCAGGCCAACAGGTGTTGTCACCTGGCCTGGCCTGATCTGCCCCTGATCCCAGCTCTCGGGCTCACCAGTGATAGTGGTACAGAAGTGTGGCCCCCCGCTGGGTCTCACGTGTTGGTTGGGTGCTGCAGCCGTTTGGCATGGCTCACCTCACCTTGGCATTTGCCAGTGGGTGCTGTAGCACAGCCCAGCCTCAATTCCAGCTCATTCTGGTGGGGGCTACAGCTTAGACCAGACCAGCCCACCTCCAGTATCAACTCTAGCTGGCAGGTGCTGCAACCTGGCTCTGCTCAGTTTGTTCCCATCCCTGGCTCATGCAAACCAGTAGGTGTCAAAGCCTATTCCGGCATAACCTGTACTCCAGCCTTGTTTCTGCACTCGCCAGTGGGCTAAGGTTTGCTCAGCCCTTCTAATCCACCCCTTCCAAAACCAACCTACACACTTGCCAGCAGATGGAGCTACCTTGCCCAGCCTGCCCAACACCCGGGCCTGGACCATGTGCTCACCAGTGGGTGCTATGGCCCACCCACCAAGGGAGTTTCCCAAGTTCTCCCATTTGGCCCACTCCCAGATCTCACGCATGCCAGTGGGTGCTAGGCTCTTACCTGGCATAGCCTGCCCTGTCCATCCTGGCCTTTGCACAAGCTGGTTGTTGTTGTAGCCTGGCCTACCCCACTGTTTTAGGGTGCACATACAGGTGCTGCAGCCTGGACCTGACCAGCCTATTTCCAACACCAGTATCTGAGTGGTTGTGGGTTCTACGGCCATGCCTAGCTCAGCCCATCACCACCCTAACTCAAGCTAACCAGTGGGAATGGCAGTTCCACAGAGTTAGGCCCACATATCTCCCACAGAATTTACCCCCAGAGCTGGTTGTTTTGCATGGTGGTTAGTATCATGGCCCAGGCTAATGTGATCTGTCCCACTGTAATACTGTCACATACTGGGCCAGACAGGAACTCAGCCCTAGCTTTTGTGTGGGCTGGTGTGTGGTGGTCAATGATCCAGGTCAGGTCTCCAATGTGGGCTGACCCACAAAGGTCTTCTGATCTGTCCCCTCCAAAACACAGGTCTCAGTCCCCTCACTTACCTGCCAAGTACAGTGGTCTCGTTGGGAGTCCCTCAGGAGTCATTCCTCACCTGCAAGACACTTACATGGAAGTCCTCCCTACCCCACATCCCCTTGCTCCTTCCCCCAATCAA